AAGTTATAAACTAGTCAAGTTGAAGTGAATAACAAATTATGTAATTTTGACCATTTGACCTATTTTTTTAAGTTAATCCCAAACAAATTTAGATGAGAGTTGAGCAGACAACGGTATAACTTGTATAGGTTACTGGAGACCATAAAAAATAAAATAAAAATGATGATATAAAAAATGATAAGCTATTACAGACAAAAAAAGTTATGCATAATTAAAAAACCAAATGGTGATATAAAAATAACAGTGTTTAAAATTATAATTATTGTAAGAAAATTCTGTAAAATTTGTATAAAAGTAAGACAGACTATTTTGAGGTATTTGAAAAATGTATTAAAATTATGAATATTTTTACAGTTTGTAATTTTTATTGACTAAAGGTGGTCATTAACAAACCCATAAAAAATTTATACACAAACTATCATAAAAAATGATGTTCAAATAAATCCAATCTTTGTTCAAAAAAAATAAAACCTATCTTCATTTTTATAAGTAAAACCTATCTTCATATCTCATTTGTTTGAGAAAAAAGATATTCAAAATTTTTATTTAAAAATAAAAATAAAAATAGTATGATTGTTATATTTTTATAATTATGAACTACAAGAAAATGAACATTTTAATTTCTAATAAATGACCATAAAAAAAGACACCTATTTTGTATAGTGTCTTGCCAACAAATGTCGCTCAAGCTAAAAAAAAGTTTAAAAATTAAAAAATTAAAGAGCACCACAAGATTACCTTTTTTTGAATTCAAGACATTTTTTTTATTAAAATTAATACACTTTTTAATATTTTTATTTATTTTTAAAAATAATTATTTGGTGGTATTAGAGTATTATTTCACACTACTTATCACTTGATACTTATTCCTAATAAAAACTATTGGATATCATTTCACGAATCAGGATCCCCCTCTTTGCATTTTCTCCTTGTATTTCCTACTTGCAGGGCCATTGGGCACACTTTTAGGCCTAATTTTGATAATTCGAACCGTTCATATTTTAAGATTTGTTCAGTATATCATACTTATAAAAAATCAAATTGATCGGATATCAAAAAGCATGTGTTCGGAAAACTCGAATTAAAAACTATTTTTTTAAAGAATTTAATAAACAGTTTTTCGAACGCATACTTTTTGATATCCGATCAACTTGATTTTTTACGGGTATGATATACTGAACAAATCTTAAAATATGAACGATTCAGATTATTAAAATTGGGTCTAAAAGTGGGCTCAATAACCCTACAAGTAAGAAATGCAAGGAGAAAATATAACGAGGGGATACTTCGGGTTGGTTTGGGATGTCATAAAAAAGTGCACTTTTTGACTTATTGGTGGGTTTGGGTTGGGTTTGTGTTGGGTTTGATGTGATGTGTTAGAGAGGTGATGTGATTTAAATAAGATGATGTGACTTAAATAAGATAGTGATTTTTTAACTTTTTGACTTATTTAGTACATGCCAAACTACCCCTTCATTTCACAACACTTATCACTAAATTTATCTAAAAACTAAGGGAAGAATGCTTTCAACACTTTTTGATCATCAACTTTTAGTTTATAATAACTTGCACTAAACGGGCCAGATGCCTTTTCGCATTGGGATGAGCTCCCCTCTATATTTCATCCTTTTATGCTCTTTCACATCTCTTTTGTTTTATAGATTTTAACCTGGGCTATAGATTTATAAATGATCCGAATTGTCTATTTTTTTAGACATTGCAATAAAAGTCGTCTATATAAAAAATTAGTTTTATTGAATATTTATAAATATAGAAACAAATTGTATTTTGTTTTATAAAATTAATGGTTTAAATTTACAATTATATTTGGCAGCATTTTATAAAAGAAAATGTGATTTGTTTATGTGTTTATATATGTCTGGTGAAATTAATTTTTTACATGGATGATCTTTACTACAAGACCTACAAGATAAACCGTTTGAATCATCGATATGAGTTCGAATTAAGAATCATAATAAGGGTTTGAATAAGAATGGAGAGATGAAATTATGGATGAACTCATTTTTTACACTTCGTTTGGATTGAGGGGTTTGGTGAGAAAAGAAAAGAAAAGAAATGGTAAAAATTTGAAACCCTTCACTTGTTTGGATGATTAAATAAGTGAGAAATGATGAGAGATAGTGAAAAAAAGATTCTCACTAAACTTATATTTTGTTTCTCACAAAAAATAATGAGATTTGGTGAGAAAAAAAATTTGAATTTAATGAAAAAAATTTAAAGTACCAAAATTACTCTTATAAAACAACATAATTTATTAATATGAAAAGTTATTTATTTATTTATTTTTATCGAATATAGAAGTTTATTTTGATAAAATAAAATACAACCCTTTCGTTACTTTTCTCTTATTTACTCTTGTTGGAATGGTTATAAAATTCTGGATAAAATCAGAATTTTTTCCTAAGTTCGGTCTATTTTTTAGGTGGGCCCCGAGTGTCGATTTACTCGGGTCAAAGTGGTAACGCGTTCTATGCCGCGTTGTGATTCACGTGATATATTTGGTTGCTCAAAACCATTACCGAGTGAATGGGAAATTGAAGCCAAAGTGTGCTCCATGGAAATGGAGTTTTGGTAGAAATTCCTTAAGGTTGCAAATTGGCTTGTCCCACATTGATTTGGTGGGAAGTTTTGAAAGGGTTTATAAAGCTTAGGGTGAGATACTTGGGGTGTGCCCCAAGGGGTACCCAAGTGTTTTAGAGCGAGAGGTTATGGGCTAGGCCCATTGGACCCAAAAATCACCCCACGCGCGCCGCCGCCGTCGTCGTCCGTCCGGGCGGGCTGGCTGGGCTTGGGCGCGGGTGCGTGGTATGAGGTTGGGTTAAGCTTGTCCGACCCAATACCTATCTTTTTGGGTCAAAAACATTTGAATTTAATTTTATTTTTTGAAAAATAAAATCCATAATTCAAATTAATTCCGGAAATAAACTGGTCCGATTTTTCTATATACCCAAACAGATCCCTTCCCATTTTTATCTGTTTGAAATTTGAACTCAATAGATTTAAATCTATTTAATTCAAAACCAAACAGGTTTGCACCTGTTTAATTCAAAACCTACAGCCACCAATCCATCTATAAATAGGACAGCCCTCATTTGATGTTACATTCAGAAATTTCGTACTTCACTTCTGCAAATTTATTCTTCATTTTGCTGCATTTAATTTTTATGAGAAAGAGTATAAACACTTAGTGTGTTCGTTAGGCAAACAATTTGTAGTGCTGCTATTGTTTGCAGTAAGATCATTTCATCCTGGGAGATAGACGTCCAAATTCTGAAAGCACCGTGGAGAGGACGAATCTGTCTTAAGGACACAGTGTCAAACACTGGACTTGATCAGAAAAATAATTTAGGCCTCGTTTGGCAAGAATTGTGGAGAGGACGAATCTGTCTTAAGGAGACAGTGTTAAACACTGGACTTGATCAGAATAATTCGAAGAAATTAAATCAAGTAAGTTATTTAATTACTTTCAGTGTTGTTTTTATTTGTTTATTTATTCAGATTTTAATTTTGTTTTTGTAACAAAATAAAATCTGTTTTGTTTTTTATTTATTTATTTTTATTTCGAGTTTGATTTTTGTAATCAAACATATTCTCTCCTTTACTCTATTTCTTTTATTCTTGTTGTTGTTTTGTACACAACAGAATTAAATCCTTTTAAATACAGTGAAGATTGTCCTACAACTCTGTCTAAACAATATAAATAAAAAATCATGAATAATACTATATATATCAATTAGTGCACTAACTAATGTATCAATTGATAATATGGTACAATTTAAAATATTTTTGATATTTATAATTTGTATAATGAGTGAGATCAAGAATAATCAATTGATAATATGATACAATTTAAAATATTATTGATATTTATAATTTGTATAATGAGTGAGATCAATAATAAAATTATATATTAATACACTAATTAATATATTAATTTATACATATACTATCACTCAAAAATCAGATCTTTTCTTCTATTCATCCAAATATAATAGCCCAAAATCATAACCATTTTTTTTTTCTGGCCTCACTCCCAATTAGGGGTGGGCGCGGGTCGGTTGCGGCCACGGAACCTCCAATCAGCCAGATTGGCAGATTGGAGAAAATCAATCCGCATCCGTCCGCCAATCCGGCGGATGTGGATTGAGCGGATTGGCGGTTTGGCGGATGAATGCGAATCGGTTTGGCGGTTTGAAATTTTATAAATTTTCAACATAGTTCAACTTATGCACTTCCTAAAAAAAAAATAATATTACAGTCAATGACTTAAAAAAATATTACAATTACTGCATGTCTCATTCAAAAAAAAAAGTTTAAAACTTTAGAATATCACAATCATTGCATGTCTCATCCACATATTACAATCACAACATGCCTCATATCTACATAAAATATTACAATCTGTGGTTCTTAAAATATAAAAACAATTCAAACCACCAAAACCATAAACAGAACAATAGTAGAGATTGTATGTCTTTATATTGTTACATTTATATATGTTTTTGAAAATGAAAATCAATAAGCATATACCATATTTTTTATTTATTACTTTTAGAGTTATATTTAAAAACAAAAAAATATAGATAAATAATACGTTTATTTTTTTTTCAATTCAAAAAATATATTCAAGTTGAATTTTTTTTTTCAACAGAATATTTGAACTTTTTTTCAATTGAAAACACAAACAAAATATTTAAACAAATTGAAAACATAAAGTCTTATAAATTACTAAGGGTGCTCGCGGTTTTGCAGTTTGGTTGCGGCCAAAGGAACCTCAAATCCACCATTCGTCCGCCAAATTGACGGATTGAAAAAAATCAATTTGCAACCCTCCCCTCGTCATTACGCATCCATTCAAAATACGACGGATCGATTCCATTCAATCAACTTTTACGAATTGATATATCGGCTGCTCACTCCCCTTACAACTATTCAAACGGAGTGTTAGAATTTGCCTTTGTTTTTTAATCCAAATTCAAATTTTGTTTTTGTAAACAAAAAAAATAGTTTAATAAATGACCTCTGCAACTACAAGTGATTGGCAACCATGTCTGATCTCATCTCAGTCCACAAACCCTAAATCCAAACCCTAATTTTCTACAAACTGGCAATTGCAGATACTACAAAAATGTGGTCTTTTTCATCACCATCCTCTTTCATCCTCCCCACATGCACTCGCCTTCTCTATCGTCCTTGTAATTTCTCGTTTCAAAATTCTCCACACCCAATTTTCATCACTCGCAGATCCATACACCCTAGATCATGTCTCTCTGCACCAATCGCCTCGAGTAGCCTCCAGCTCTCGTGGTTCGCCCCAGACCTAAGCTCAACCGACGAGTACGGTGGTTGGGCAATCGTTGAATCCCCAATTCAGAGCAAAAACAAAGGTCTCGTTTGTTTATATATATATATATATGGGCTTAAATCTACATGTTTTCTATGTAATTTCTGTTATAAATTGTTGTTGAGTGTTTGTTCTGGCTCTGCAGGTTGGCCTACGTTTCTGGTGGTGGGTATTGGAACTTCAATCACTGCTTTACTAGCTGCCATTGCTTACTTTAGTCTATTCAGAAGAGGTTTGTTTCTTGGAAATTTAACCTATTTTGGGGTTTTTGTGAATTGGGTTTTAATTGTACAACATTGTGTTTTTTTTTTTTTTTAGGTCTTGTGATAAAATTTAGGAGTCCACTGCATGCTTTGCACGGGATTTTAGGGCCATCTGAATCTGATACAGCCATTGAGAATAAAACTATTGATTATGATTCACGGTCGAGTGACACTGTGGTTCCTGAGGCAAGCTTGGAGAGTGAATTCGACGCAGTTGTTGAAGAAGTGGCATTAGGTACATTCCAATTTCAAAAGTTCTCAAATTTGAACGGTGTTTTGATTTTGTTTTCTCCTTTTAAATTGCTTTCTTATCTGAGCATATTAATTGATGTTGAAGCTGCAATTCCGCTTGAGTACTGAGATACATGGTAGAGGTGTGATAATTGTTGAAGCTTTGGAATGCCTCAATGTTAAACTATTAATGGAAAAACAAATAAAACTCATTTTTATATGAGAGAGATGTGGATTACAAATGCAATGTACAAGGCAGTAGGTTGATTTCTTATCCATGGGTTGTCCATTGTGTCCCCCCATTAAGCAATTAACTGCTGTTCAAAGTAACAAAGTGATGCATTTGAATGTTTTTGTGTGTTGTGCATCAAGTTTCCCACCATGGCAAACAATTTGCTTAAGTGTTGTAATTGGAAGCTCCATCAGGCTTGATTCATTTTCTCCGTTTTGAGCCTGAACTTGACTGAGCTTTAACTTTATTAGTGTGTTGAAAGTAATTTTGAATGAACGGACTAGGTTGCCTTAGTTGGCCTGAGCTTATGACTCTCATATGAGAAGTCATGGGTTTGCATCTCAAGGGGTTGACCAATGGTTAAATGTTACATTCCCCACTCCCCCTTGAGGCTATCTCTGGGGCTTTGGCCCGGTAATTACTTGGTATATCGGACAGGGGGATTCCATGTACTTGGGGGATTAGTCGGACTGAAGCCCTAGACAACTTCCTGAGCAAAAGAATTTTTTTCCCTACGTGATTATCCTTTTTGTCTTAATGTGTTTCGTCATATGGAGTAAATGACTGATACTCCTGGAAAATTAATCATCTTTTATGAGCATCTCTTTAGCATTTTTGCATTTTTTCTCAACTTGATGGTTTCCATCGCCAACTTTTTGTTTTATAAAATGATTGTTGTGATAATAGCTGGATTTTGGAACTTGATTAGCTCTTAATGCTGTTTATATTGCATCGTGTGCCACTTTTTTGTACTAATCTTTTGTATTTTACCTTTGTTAAGAGACAAACCATCTAAAGGGGCAAGAAAGAAAGCTTGGACGGATGATAATTCCAGCCCCTGTGGATTCTACTCAAGCGGAGCTTTAATCGGTGCTTAAGAAATTGAAGGTATGTCTTAGAAGCATATTCTCATAAATAGGAGTCATATATATGGATATATCCATTTCCTGTCAAAACAGACTCCTTATTTATACATTGGGTCATTTAGAGAGTCTCTTTAAGACTGTCTTTTTCCTTGTCTTTGTTTGTGTTTGGGGTTGGGCCAAATTACTATACTACATCCCCCCGCCTACGGATTTGTTAATATTTTTCACAAATTTTACGAACAGAAGTTTTTATTTTCGTATTTGCCATTCCCCTTGAATCTACTTCTTGGAAGATGAACTGCCAACTTCTTATTCTTGGCTGAAGGGATGTGGGAGTGAGTGAATTTCTAAAATTGTTATTACTGACTGCATATGGTATTTGAATCAAATTGATGTGCCTAAATCACTAGAAGAATATATGACTATGAAGTTTTGTGTCCAAATGTTCCAGCTTTTGCCTCTAGGTCTCTTACCTGGTGTTTAGTATATTATTGATTAAGACATCAGAAGTTTGATTTTGTGGATGGTATAATTGTGAAGTGTAATCATGATAGTACCATTCATTATGATCCAAAAGTCATGAAAGAAGAGAGTCTGTGGCCTCGAAACTTTGGTCCTTACATGTTACAACATTAACCAGGGATTGATGTAGTGAAGTTTGGACTTTTTCTAAGACCTTGAAATAGAAGTAGTCATAGATCATATATTTCTTCCATTAGTTCCTCTCCTCCTCCCTCCCTTCCTTATAATGTAGAAATATTTCATCATCATTGCCGTTCAAAAAAAAAAAAAACTTTGGTCCTTACATGTTACAACATTAACCAGGGATTGATGTAGTGAAGTTTGGACTTTATCTAAGACCTTGAAATAGAAGTAATCATAGATCATATATTTCTTCCATTAGTTCCTCTCCTCCTCCCTCCCTTCCTTATAATGTAGAAATATTTCATCATCATTGCCGTTAAAAAAAAAAAAAAATCATCATCATCTGCAATAATTTTATATATTTTAGAATAGAAGCCTACGCTATTTTGAGTGAAACTTAACGTTCAGTTCTAAGCATGTTGCGCCATTGTAATTAAGGTATACAGATCATTGAAGATGATGTCAAGGCAGATGAATTGTGTACTCGGAGAGAATATGCAAGATGGTTAGTTCGAGCTAATTCTTTACTGGAAAGGTAGGATTTGGTCCATGGATAAGATTTGTCAGTATCATATAAATGTAATGTGCCACCTTGTGATGGTTTCTCTTAGCGATTTGTTATTTGGTTTAATAGGAATCCAAAGCATCGGATTGTTCCATCTGTTGCACTTTCTGGGTCTATAGTTGCTGCCTTTGATGATGTGAACATTGAAGAGCCTGATTTTGGGTCAATTCAATGTAAGAACTGAGATGGTTTGATGTTGATATTCATGTAGTGATGTTCCTTGGATAAAGTAACAAATTTCTAAATTTTTCCCTTGGATTTGTTATTCAGCCCTGGCTGAGGCTGGCATCATTCTTAGCAAGCTCTCTGGAAAGAACACGAGTTTGGATCAGGATGATTCAAAAGGCCTACAAGGTGTCGATTTTTATCCTGAGAGGTACTCCAACTATGCTTCTTTCAATTGTCTGCTTAAATAAATAAATAAATAAATAAATAAAACAACACACAAACACACAAATATTGATATTCTTTTCACTTAAACATAACATATTTGGTACCTTAGTTTCATATCTCGCCAGGATCTGATAGATTGGAAAGCACAGCTAGAGTATGAAGCCATGCCAGGAATAAACGAAAAGGTACAAGAAATTTGATACATGATGGGTATATATATGTCTATGGTTCTTGCAATATCAGAACGGCATTATTGATAAGTGACATTTTGTCATCCTTTCATAGCTTTTAAAACCTGACTTATTTACAGTCCAGATATCAAGGACCAACATGGGTTTTATGGACATGAGGGAGATCAGTTCAGATGCATCACCTGAGCTTTTTATGGATATGATGGCTGGTGACAAAGGCATACTCAAAAAAGTTTTTGGTATCTCTCTCTCTCTTCTCTCTGAAAACAGGCTACAGATTGCACAAGTTTACATATTTGAATGCATCTTATCTGCCATTACCATTTAGTAGTTGGCAGCATGTTGATCATGACCTAACATTTGATCATATTCTTTTTTTATGTTGAGTTAGCTAAGTAGATGTGAGAGACACAACTGACTTGCTTTCAAAGCAATGGAAACAAATTTTAAAATGTGTCTGGTCCTTGTTGAGTGTAGTTGGCTTCTTTTGATCACTTAATCTGTGTGTTGATTTAGACTAATAATGAACTTCCATTCTTATGGGCAAAATGGTTCTGTAATGCTCTATTTGGAACGAGATGGAATGGTTATTCCTTAGGCTCCCCTATGGAATGATAATTCCCTCACAATGGTCAATGATGATCTATGAAGCATAGACACGGACACGGATACGGATACGGATACGGATATGAGACACGGCGATTTCAAAAAAAAGGAGACATAGACATGGCGGGAGACACGGTAATTTTTTTTTGAAGATATATATATATATATATTACCTATTTGTTATATAGATTAATATTATGTTACCAATACCAAACAATCAAAATTAATAAAATTTAACATTAATTCAATGTATTATATAAAAATCATTACATTTAAACATTATAAATATATTTTTTATAAATTATAAACGTTATATAAAGAAAAAATTAAATAAATAATAAAAAATAAATTTGCATATATAAATTTATAAAGAAAAAAAAATTAAACTAAAATATACAAGTATATAAATATCTAATCAGCAAATAAATAAAAAAACTAAAATAAGAAAAGAAAGAAAGAAAAAAGGGAGAGAGAGAGACGAGGCAAGACTTACTAGGTTGAGATGAGATGGAGATTTGATTGGAACAGGAGCCTCGATGGAGATGGAGCTCGCGACTGAAGATCGATCAATTGAACAAGTTCTCCTGTCTTTTTTTCTTCTTTTGATTTAGGGTTTAGGTTTCTCCTCTTTCCGTGTCCCCGACGTGTCCCTTACAAAAATAATAATAAAATCAAATGGACGTGTCCCCGGCGTGTCGGCGTGTCCCTGTGTCCGACACCGCTACAGCACTAGTTCTGCCATGTCTGTGCTTCATAGGTGATGATTATATTTGCAATGCATCTTTCAATATTTTTTTAATCAACCAAACATGGGAATGGATATTTCGATGGAATGATCATTCCATTCCACTTCATTCTAGTAAACCATGCATCTTAAGAAAAGGTGTTGATTTAGTAGTGATGGAAAATATGGAGACTCAAGTGAGGTTCTTTCATTCCTCCTGGTGTGTGTGTGTGTGTTGAGGTTCCCTATTTTTTTTGCTATAGAAAGCATGTATATGGGGAAATGGCCACTTAAGTGATAAGCTGTAGTCTTTAAAATGGCAGTGCTCCAGGCTTCTCTTCAAGGTGCCCATCAATGTGTGCAAAGATGTAATATATGCAGTTTCATTTTCTCATATAAGAAGATTATAACCTAAGAAGCATGGGCACTTCTAAGAAAGTAATGTGTTGTGTTCGACACTGACTTGATATTACACAACACAACACAACACAACACGACACTCGTCGGAGACTTCCCAATATGTAGACCCACATGAATCACATTACAAGTTTGAATAAAATGACTTGGAATCCAATGATAAAACAAAAAACAATATAAATTTATACATATTCTTCTCCTTTAGACTTTCAAAATTATTATCATTGACTTATATATGCCAAACCAAACCAAGCCTTGAATCCCATCAAATGGGGTCGGTTATATGAATCATTCTTTTCCACACGACTCTATCAAATGCCATTTCGTTAGTCAAATTAAGTAGATCCAAATCTCCATTTACAACGTTAGCTAATGTTAATCTAGGCTTACCCGGTCCCCTAACACTTCCATCTGCTATCATTGTATCGCATCTCTTCACTACTGTCTCTGTTGGTCTCCGTTGAATATGACCAAACCATCTCAATCGATTCTCTCCCAACTTATTTCTATCGGTGCTACTCCTATCCATTTCTGAACACACTAATTCATAATTTTGTCTTGTTTAGTCTTACCACACATCTACCTTAGCATTCTCATCTTAGCAACACTCATCTTTTCTACATGTTTCGTGATTGCCTAACACTCCATCCCATACAACATCGCCAGTCTAATAGTCGTTCTATAAAACTTTCCTTTTAGTCTAGTGGGTATTCGTTTATTGTGCAGTACCTCAAACGCACTTCTCCATTTAAGTCATCCTGCCTTAATTCTATGGGCCACATCCGCATCAATCTCCTTCGCCGTTGTGATAATCGACCCTAAATAACGAAAATGTTCACTCTTAGACAGTTCTTGGCTCTCAATCTTCACTTCTCTGCTTTCATTGTTACTGTTACTAAATTTATACTCAATGTATTTTGTCTTAGTTCTGTTTATTTGGAATCCTTTAGATTCAAGACTCATATATGCCTCATAATAAAAATATAAGATTATATATTTGGCACGTGACCCCCATATGTCGTGTTCTACATTTTTTTGCCAATTTCTGTGTTTGCGTGTCCATGTTCGTGTTTCTTAGATTATAACTGTTGCATTCTGTTTAACAGGACAGGGAAAGCGGTTTCAACCAAATAAACCTTCAACAAAGGCGCAAGTGGCAGTGGCACTGACAACTGGCAGGATGACAGAAGTAATTCATGCTGAACTGTTGAGACTAGAAGCTGAAAATTCTTCAAGGCAAAATGCAATGGAAGAAATTAGGTTTGAGCTTCTGAACCGAGGAGATATACAGAGATATTGGGATGGGAAGGTAGAAGAAGAGAGACGTCGTGGTTTTGAAGTGCACAAGGGTTATCTTGCTACAATTCATGACTTGGAACAGGAGAAGATTGTTCAAGAGGACACTCTAGCCAAGTATTTGAAGGAGAAGGCTGCCATGGACTGCCAGAAGCAGCTGCTTTCAAGTCTGAAGGAAGAAGTCACTGAGATGTCAGAGAGGCTTGCATGTGAGAACGCTAAACATGCAGATGAGCAACGAAATTTGCAGGACATGCTCAGTGATTTACAGGTCAAGCTGGAAGGAACGCTTGATGCAAAATCAATACTTCAAGCAGAGATAGAAGCTCTGCGGATACTCAGGTAAGAATTAAAGCTGCATGCATTTTCTGATTTTTTTTCTTCTTGAAATTTCTATACGACTCTTTCTATTTTTCTCTTTTCTTTTATGCACAAAGTCTCATGTTTATATATATATATGTATGTATATGTTTCCAAATTATGTATAGAACTGTGATTAGTGATTAGTGGGCTCCAGTAGATGTGGTAAAAAAATAAGATCAATGATCAGGATTGGTTTATTCGGAGGGAAGAGTGGGGAGAAGGGAAGTGGGTTATGAAAAAAGGGAGGGATTGTTGGACAGAGTCGGTCATTTGTTAGGAAGGATTCATGTAACCGACCTCACCTAACACAAGGCTTAAGTATGGTTTGGTTTGTGATGAACTCTTTGATCTTCTATTGAAGTCTATAGCATAGCCCATGACATTGTGATATAAAATGTGCTACCTGCGTATATGCTGTCAGTTGATTTTTGAGTGGATGTAATGTTAAAAAAAAAAATAGTATTCCAAAAAATTTAAAGCCATGATGATTTTGTTTTTAGCTATTTCCAGTATCCATACCATACTATTCCTGTTTCGTTACAAAACAAACTATTATGCTTTAAGAGGACTATCGGGTTGGCTCACCTGAAATAAAAGTTGGTTTGCTTTGCAGGGCAATACTTGGTGTTAAGTTTTGTTCCTTCTATTTCTCCCATCATGATTAAGCCTACTGTTTTAGTATCTGGTTAGACAAGACAGTTATTGCCCTAATTTAATAGTTGGCTAGTGTCTGGTGAGACAATGCAGTTATTGCCCTAATTTTATAGTTGAGGATTCTTGTGAGTTAGGACAAGAATATTATAATGTTGGAAAATGTCTCGTAGCTCAAATTTGGTGGCTCAAAAGTGGCTCAAATGGCCAAAACGACGATGTTGGAAAATGTCTCGTAGCTCAAATTTGGTGGCTCAAATGGCCAAAACGACGTCGTTTTGGCCATTTTTATGTTGTTCTGTACTCAAAACGACGTCGTTTTGGCCATTTGAGCCACTTTTGAGCCACAAAATTTGAGCTACGTACCATTGCCGTATAATGTTTTAGTTTAGTCCTAGACTGTCAACAAACATAGTTGTTACTAATAGAAGCTATTGGATGCAGATCTTGGATTGAGGATGAAGCTAGGAAAAGCCAAGCGCGTGCCAAGGTTCTTGAGGAGGTAGGCCGAAGATGGAAATGGGACGACTGAGATTAATGTTTTCTTTTCCCATATGAAGTAGAGATTTGCTGATAAATTACTCGAAGAAACCCTTGGTCAAGGGATACGCCAGATATTTTCAATAATTGTCGTGCATCAAGCTGCTTCTTAGACCCTATCATTATTGAGAGTTTGTCTCTGGGCATTTGTTTGTGTATTTATAAATGGCAGCATATCCTGCCAATCATGTATTTTGTGATTTGTTTTGAGTTAATGAATCACAGAGAGCAAACTGAACGGATTTTGTGATGTTTTCAGAAGTAGTTTTGTCTTGTTCTCTCTCCAAGTTCTTATGTGCAAGAGGACATAAATTCTTTGTGTTGTCAGACATATATTAAAGTACAAATTGTAGTTCATATCATTTAAACTAAACCCAAGAGGGAAAGGGTGGTGGGGTAAGGAGGCTTGAGTACCCGATCATCTTATGAGATCTCAATTGCTTGAGTTTCATGTCATTTATGTTACTGGTGAAGATTTAGTACTTGTCTATGAGAGAGAGAGAGAGAGAAGAGACTGAATCCTTTGTCTGGATTCTTCTTATTTTCTTGTCTTAAATTCTTTCTTTATCACATAATTAGGGACATATATTTGTTCGAATTCTCTTTATCTGTCTCAAACTCCTTTTTACTATACGATCAGAGAGTTTTCTCTAAGCCCGAACTTGATCCCTGGCCCAGAAGTAGCAGGGGATGGTGAGTGCCTACATGCTTGGAGGATAATCAAGGAATTTATGGGCTAGTTGGCATTGTTTCCAAGTGGTCAGACTCCTAATTTGGATTTTAAATGTTCATGTTCATGTTCATGAAAGAATAATTGGAGTGAATTATAGCTGTGGATGTGTTTTTTTAAATCTGAATAATATAGCTGGTGTAGCAATGAAAGTACCTGAAGTTTAAATCAAGTCGTGCTCTTTAATCCGAAATCGAGTTCCATGAACTCCACCCTCCAAAAATAAATAATAATAATAATAATAATAATAATATTCCAATGGACTCATCATTCACAATGTATCCATTTTTCCTGGACTTGTCCAAAAATTCTAATTTTCCTATTTATCTTTCCCAAAATTTTGTTAGATTAAAATGATGGGTAAATTTTTGTAAACAAAGAGTGATTTTTTTGTAATAGTAAGTCTAAGAATATAAAAACTTAATGCAAAATCAGATTTTAAACGTACGAATAAATAAAATATTTATATGAAAATAAGATTATGTTTTGATTGTTCAACTAATAATTCTTTTTTTTTTTTTTTCAAAAAAATTGAACCACCTAAGAGCAACTCCAACCACACTCTCTACTTTTCGCTAGCTAAAGTACAAAAAAAGTACACTCTTTATTTTACCTAATTACTTTAGCTATTGTGTTCTCTAATCACACTCTTTATTTTAGCTAATGATTTAAATTAACTTAATTAATTTTTAAAATAAAAAAAATACTAATTGTTGATATTTTACTAATATAAATTTGCAATAATAAATTTGTCCATACAAACATACAAAACCTATAGAATGAGGAGGAAAAAAAATAAAAAATACAAAATAAGTTATTTCGTAATTCATCAAACAGAATTGAAAGAACATATAAAATTGCTACACACACGCACACATATATATAATATAAAATCTCAAATCCAAGACATAAATATACAAAAATCTAAATATATACGTACATAATTGTTTGGAGAGCCTATGGGGCTCTTCAATTGTAACCACAAAAAAAAAATAGGATGGTAAAGTAGCTAGCTTAATAACTAGCCCATTAGAGCTCAAAATTAGACTTATATTGACTAAAATATCTAACAAACCTTGTTTAACTATCCCCATAGAGATGCTCTAATGGGCTTAAAAAAAATAAAAATAAAACTCAGAGAAAAGCCAAAAAAAAGAAAAAAGAAAATTAAGGTGGGCAGAACAGAGGTGTTACAAGGATAAAAGTTTGGCTGACAGAGCTTTCCCTTTGGCCAATATATTCCATAGAGTAATGTTAGGTATCATGAAAAAAATTTCATGAAAATGATCATAAAAGATTTATGACCTTTGGATTACACTTAAAATAAAGCACCACACACTAATCAAATTAATCTAAGAATCATAAATCTTTCATGATCATTTTCATAAATTTTTTTTCATGATCCCTAACTTTTCTCTATTCCATATGCTTCATTCCATTAACCAAATGGCAAACAATTAAATTAAATTTCCAGCACAAACCTTTTCCAATCAAACTTTCCTTTCTCAATTTTGGGTGAAACCAAACGACAAAAACAAACACGCATGCCCCCTTTTTCTTTGTTTGGGCCTCTTAAATGGACCCTACTGAGCAGTGTTAGGAACATAGAAGATTTTAAGTATAGAATATATAGACGTGAGATAAAAAATATTTTTACAAACATATATAAATGTAGAAGTGAATATATATATATATATATATATTATATCTGTAAATGTTGTGTTTTGAATTATCTGTATTTCTATAGACTTTTTTGACCTCACCACCTTCTCCATGTGGGCCCATAATCCTCTTCTTATGATATTAATAAGAGATTTGAACTCTCTCTCTAATCAAATCATAATGAGAGGATATCCTACGCAAGTGCCTTTCCAAGATCATTCAAAGAGAGATTGATCAGACCGTTAGGATTGGTGGGTAGTTTTGACTTTTTGGCTATTCTATCAATCCGAGGATATGAGTTCTGTGGGTCTGAAAATGAGTGGACAAACACCAATCAAACTAGTGGATAAACAGTGGGAGCTAACAGATAGAGAGAGACACGTGTTCATTGCATGGCATTAAAGACAAGACTATTATCTTCTCCGACCTTTTCGTCCCCAACAGCCCACCTTATAAAATAGGCCTTAAAATCCCATATAATTAAAAAAACAAACTATAAATAAATAAGACAATTTTAAAATAATTTTATTTTATAAATAGAATCTCAGTGTACATAATCTCCTCAAGATAACTTATCCCTCTTATCCTCATCAGTCTAGTTCTCCAAACAAATATAACTGAAATTTACAAATCACTACTACTAGCATTCAAAATTTACTACACGAGAGTAAGGGATGGTTTGGGAATCGGCTTGTAATTTTTTAATTTTTTTTTAAATAAAAAGATGTATAAAAAATAGAAAGAATAAATTGACTTTTTGAAAGATCTTGAAGACCTTGATAACCTTTATTAGGGTTAGGGCAAACATCCATCCGACTCGTTAAAATCGAATGGCCCGAACCAATCTACCATAGACTGGATGGTTTCAATGGTTTGAGTAGATTGATGTAGATATATTTTTTCCAATCCGTCAAAGTTCGGATGAATGACAGATGAGATACCACCTGACCTAAACCGACCCCGCTAACACCACCAAGAAAATGATGTTATTTTGTGTGTCAAAAAAATGACATTTTATATAGTAATTATATTTGCTATTTATGAAATATAAAAATTGAGCTTTTATTTTTATTATAAAAAATGAGGAATAAAAAATTTGAGCCCAAAATAATAAAAAATTATTGAAAAATAGTTTGAAAATAAGCCCAAAACAGTGAAGCTCAAACTGTCAAATTAATCTGCATTCATCTGCCAGCCTGCATAGCACGTTCAATCCGTATCCGCTAACTAAGAAATAGAAGCGGATTGATTTTTTTCAATCCGTCTAAATTCAGACAGATAGTAAATGAGAGGCTACCCGACCTAACTGAGCCCAAAATAATAAAAAATTATTGAAAATAAGCCCAAAACAGTGAAGCTCAAACTGTCAAATTAATCTGCATTCATCTGCCAGCCTGCATAGCACGTTCAATCCGTATCCGCTAACTAAGAAATAGAAGCGGATTGATTTTTTTCAATCCGTCTAAATTCAGACAGATAGTAAATGAGAGGCTACCCGACCTAACCCGATCCACAAGCAACCCCAACCTTTATAAAGAGTAAAAAATTGGGTGATTTAGTTGTTGTCTGTAGCCAACTCTATGTTCAAATTTACAGTTGCAGGAGTCTTTGTCAATCTGTATAAATGGTTCTTTTTAACTATACACACATTCTTCTGAAGAAATGAGTTAACATCTGAGACCCACTTCCACAACCCATATGGAGAATTTCAATCCTTCTGGAGAAAGACTAGCCACTAGTTTTTTTTGGTGGCTTCTGTACCTCTTAGCATGACAGTTGTGAATAGATTTTCCATTTATCGGACACTCTTTCCACACAAGCAAGTCTTCTCCTATCAAATTTCACAGATAATGATAATGCTGATTATGTGGAGATCCTTTTAACTTCAATAATGGCTATTAAATCTTCACAGTTATTTTTTTTGGGGGGAATATTCTTCACAGTTATTACTTTCCTAATCTAGAATTTTTCTGGGTTGTTCTTGTTTTCATTTTCAAGTGGTCTGATATGGTTTGAATTCTGAGCTATGGGGTTGGGGAGAGATGGGTTGAGGAGTGTTTGGGAACTGGGTTTTCTCTGTGGATGACAGGAAGGAGAAGTATTTCCTATCATAATAATCTACATGATATTAAGGGTAGGTTTTCTTGTTGCTGCTTCTATTGCAGCCTATGCAGTTAAGCAGCTCAATATCAAAACCTCGAGTTCATCGGCCACTCTAGTCAAGCCTTCTGGTACTTAATCCAATCACTTGTTTCATATTTCATTCAATACTTTTGCTTGGTATCAGCACTAACAAAATTGAGATACTTTAGAGTTCTGTTTGTGAGTATGTTGATGGCTTATTTGTATATCAGAGACTAAATTGTGTTTTTATTTTCTTTTTTGGGGACGTCATATTGTTTTTATTTATCTTGTATAATTGTTTTTTCTGAATCTGGGACTCAGAAAATGGCGAATTATCTGAAAAACAACCTCAGATTGATGGGGAAGATAGAGAGCACTTTATATGTTCTATCGATGGCTTCAAAGAACAGGATGTGAGTATTACTGCAAACCTTGATCAAAACCAAGTTTCTTCTTTGATTATATTTTTTATTTGTGGTATTGTGTAGTGAAGATTAGATATAAATCTTTGTATTTGTTGTTGTTTTTGAATTTTAATATGGTAATTTATACATATTGTAGGGGGAGGAGGAAGAGGAGAAAGAAGAGGTTAAATTAATAAGTGGGATAATAAACCATGGTTCGAGTAATTCACCCAATATTGAGGATGAGATTTTACCTGAATTTGAAGATCTTTTCTCCGGAGAGATTGATTTTCCATTTCCCAACGACAAGTATGATACGGAGAGGGATTCCAAGGTAGAGAGAGACAGAGTTTACGAGACTGAGATGGCAAACAATGCAAGCGAACTAGAACGTTTGCGCAATTTAGTTAAGGAATTGGAAGAGAGGGAAGTAAAGCTAGAAGGTGAATTGCTTGAGTATTATGGTTTGAAAGAGCAAGAATCGGACATTGTTGAATTGCAAAGACAGCTCAAGATTAAGACAGTAGAGATAGACATGCTCAACATCACCATCAATTCTCTGCAAGCTGAGAGGAAAAAGCTTCATGAGGAGGTCTCTCATGGAGTTTCTGTGAAGAAAGAGCTTGAGGCGGCTAGGAATAAGATAAAGGAGCTTCAGAGGCAGATTCAGCTCGAAGCGAATCAAACGAAAGGTCAGTTATTGTTGCTCAAACAACAAGTGAGCGGTCTTCAAGCGAAGGAGGGAGAAGCATTCAAGAAAGACGTGGAAGTCGAAAAGAATCTAAAGGCTTTGAAGGAATTAGAAGTGGAGGTTGTGGAGCTCAAGAGGAAGAACAGAGAGCTTCAACATGAAAAGAGAGAGTTGATCATTAAACTTGATGCTGCTGAGGCCAGCGTTACAGCCCTTTCTAATATGACAGAGGTAAAAGTCTAAAGTTCCCTCTTGCATATTTGTATCCTATGGGATCATTCATTTTTGTTTTTCCAATTCAATGCAAATGGTTTATCAGATTTCAAAAAATCTAAACCGTTATTGGTATAATTTAAACCATAATTCTATCGTATCCATGAAGATAACCATGAAGAAGAAGATATAAAATTCATGACTAATCCACAAACTCACTACAAATAGCATAGATAACATTGAATAAGTTTCGAAGAATGAAAAACTGCTCTCAAATTTATAAGCAAAATCATAGTCAAGAAAGGGATTAATGGGCTTTGTAATGCTTTTGATTAGAGTAAGTGAGAAGAGTTTGTGTTTTGTGGGAGGTTTCATCTTACAATTTTTTAGATATATAGCTTACTTGGTTTGGTGTATTTGGTCGAACTTTTTTAAAACTTCTAGTAAATATTATATATATGTATATGAAATGCGTATTTTGTATGAACATTGAGTTTGAAGTGGAGAGAGATGGTCATACGTGAATGTTTATACTTTGAAGAGAGAGAGAGAGAGAGAGAGAGAGAGAGAGCAGGAGATCGAGTGCAGCAAACAAAGTTAAGGTTGCAATTGCAACAAACAAGGCTGCGGTGCTAACATAAACTAAATATTTTTTTTTATTATAATTTTTTTAGATCTGATTGATGGGGTCAGCTGACACCATTTCTTATAGCGTGCCCCCCCTGGTTTGAACTACAATTACTTTACACTTCATGCCCGGTTCTCAATTTCGCTCTTTGTTTTGTTTGTGTAACATCTAGAGTACTCAGGATTGTCTGAGAAATTTAGTGTGGACTTGAAATCAAAGAAATTGATGAATCAGAACTATTTGGATTTAAGAATGAGCTTGTAATCAGATTAAATTCAATCCTAGTATGCTTTTGTTTATGCTGCTTGCAGACTGAAATGGTTGCCAAGGCCAGAGAGGAGGTGAATAACTTGAGGCACACAAATGAAGACCTTTTAAAGCAAGTTGAAGGGCTTCAAGTAAACCGGTTCAGTGAAGTGGAAGAGCTAGTGTACCTTCGTTGGGTCAACGCATGCTTGAGATATGAGCTACGAAACTACCAAACACCTGCAGGCAAAACATCAGCTCGTGATCTCAACAAGAGTTTGAGTCCGAGATCACAAGAGAAGGCTAAACAGCTTATGTTAGAGTACGCAGGATCAGAACGTGGCCAAGGAGGGGACACGGATCTTGAAAGCAACTTTTCTCACCCCTCATCCCCAGGAAGCGAGGATTTTGACAACGCTTCAATAGATAGTTCCACAAGTAGGTATAGTAGTTTCAGTAAAAAGCCTGGCATAATTCAAAAGCTTAAGAAATGGGGCAAAAGCAAAGACGATTCAAGCACTGTTTCATCACCATCCAGATCGTTTGGGGGAAGCTCTCCTAGGAATAGCGTTAGCCATAGACCAAAGGGTCCATTGGAATCCCTAATGTTGAGAAATGCTAGTGATAGTGTAGCCATCACTACATTTGGTGAAGCTCCTGAATCTCCGGAAACTCCAAAGGTTTCTTCTCCTGGTGGTGATTCACTGAACAAGGTTGCATCGTCGTTCCAATTGATGTCTAAATCGGTTGAAGGGGTTTTAGATGAAAAGTACCCTGCATATAAAGACCGGCATAAATTAGCTTTGGAGAGGGAAAAACAAATCAAGGAAAAAGCTGGGCAAGCAAGAGCAGCGAGGTTTAGCGACAATTCAAAATTAAATTCTAGCTTTGAGTCTAAAGCCAAATCCATAAGTTTGCCACCAAAACTTGCTCAAGTAAAGGAGAAAGTAGTTGTCTCTGGTGACTCGATTGATCAATCCAATGATGGCAAGACAGCAGATCCTCAAATGGTGAGCAAGATTCAATTTGCACATATTGAGAAGAGAGCTCCTAGAGTTCCTCGGCCACCTCCTAAATCATCTGGTGGTGCAAATACTAATCCTACGAGTGGGGTACCAGCTCCTTCGCCAGGTGTCCCACCACCGCCACCACCGCCACCACCTGGTGGTGGACCGCCTCGCCCACCTCCTCCACCAGGAAGCTTACCAAGAGGGGGAGGGAGTGGTGACAAAGTTCACCGGGCTCCTGAACTAGTTGAATTTTACCAGTCATTGATGAAACGCGAGGCTAAGAAGGACACATCGTCTTTGATATCTCCAACATCTAGTACAACAGCTGATGCTAGGAGCAACATGATCGGGGAGATTGAGAACAGATCGTCGTTCCTCTTAGCTGTATGAATGATTTCTCTACTTTCAGTTAGCTATTCACAAATTATGACAAAGATTAACACAGTTTTTCTCTTGATCCAGGTGAAAGCTGATGTGGAATCTCAAGGAGATTTCGTGCAGTCCTTGGCAACTGAAGTCCGAGCAGCATCCTTCACCAACATAAATGATTTGGTCGCATTCGTGAACTGGCTTGATGAGGAGCTCTCTTTCTTGGTATACTCATTAGACTTCACTTGTTGAAATGGGTTCATTCATATGCCATTGACAATTATAGTTCTAGATCGAAAGGGATTAGCCATTCTCATATTATACAAAGACTTCAATATCTAAAATCACAATGCGACCTTTTTTTCTTTTTTGGAGAATACAAAAATGTTTACTCTGATAAAGTTCGAATTAGCTCACTTCTTGTTTAACATTCTCATTAAGCAAGTACTAAATATTCAAAATTGTCTCAATCATCTGTGTTTCATTAAGGTTGATGAACGCGCAGTCCTTAAGCACTTTGATTGGCCTGAAGGGAAAGCAGATGCGTTGAGAGAAGCAGCATTTGAATACCAGGACCTGTTGAAGCTAGAGCAGCAAGTGACCTCTTTTGACGATGATCCCAAACTCTCTTGCGAAAGTGCTTTGAAGAAAATGTACAAGTTGCTTGAAAAGTATGTCTTCTTCTCTTGCGTGATCTTAAACTTCTTTTCGAAATTATTCTATGTTGTCAGTAAACATAAATTTTTTGCTGATTTCCAGGGTGGAACAGAGTGTTTATGCGCTCTTGCGTACACGGGACATGGCTATTTCACGATATAGAGAATTTGGAATTCCGGTTGATTGGTTGCTGGATTCTGGTATCGTAGGCAAGGTATACTTCTAAAACTAGACGATACAAACTTCCATGATGCTTAAATGCAACATTGGTACTGTTTATTTTTGGGTATTTTGAATATTTTGTGTCAATTGGCAAATGTAACTTGAACTTTCCAATGATGAACAAGCTCTTACTGTTATGGTTAATGATGGTTGGCTCGACCATCATGTTACCTCAAAACAACGAAATCATAAGCAATACCATAAACGTTTAATGCTTAAAATGAACATGTTTTCCTGTTGCAGATCAAGCTCTCGTCTGTACAACTGGCAAGGAAATACATGAAACGTGTAGCGACAGAGCTAGATGCAATGAGTGGACCTGAGAAGGAACCAAACAGAGAATTTTTGCTTCTGCAAGGCGTGCGTTTTGCTTTCCGTGTTCATCAGGTAATAATATCCCAACTTCGGCTAATTTTTTGTTGATATTAAGTTTGAAGGTTCTGAGGGTTCAGAGAACAATATCATTCATGTAAATGTCTACTTTGCTATGGATGTAACCATTCTGAAGTTGGAGAGAACAACTAAAAGCATATGAACCACTTTTGAGAAAGTTTGGTGTTGAATCTCTCTCTCTCTCTCAATTATGTAAAGTAGGTTTTCAGTCAGAAAACTAAATTGAATTTAGATAGAAATTAGGAACCAAAAAATAGAAGTTGCTAAAGCAGTGGTTTCCAAATTCCATTTTGTACAAAATTGATTTTCTTCTTAAACATTAAGGTCATGTTTGGTAACTTGGCTAATTCATTGTTTTTGGTTTATATAAATTTAGAAAACCTGTTTTTGAAAAAAAAAGAAAAAATGCTACATATTTAGTACATTTCAAGACACAAATACAAAAATAAAAAGACATGTTTAGTGAGTTGCCAAAAAGGGAAGTGGCCAGAGTTGATTGTCAGAGAAGGGGTGGGAAAGAAAGGAGGGAATACAAATTTGTATTCAAAACAAGCGAAAGCACATTTTTTTGTTTCCTAAAATTTTGGATAATTTAGAAACTATTACCATAATTTTAAAAACCAAAACAGCTATCAAATGTGTTTTTGTTTACAATTTTTTTTTTTTATATTTTTTTAACAAAATAGTAAACAGAAAACAAAAGCGCAACCAAACATTCAATATATGACAAATAGCGAGTAACTGTTTTTGTTTGTGTTGCAGTTTGCTGGAGGCTTTGATGCAGAGAGCATGAAAGCTTTTGAAGACCTGAGGGGCCGTGTCGGTACACAAACAGGAGAAGACAAATAAGTTGGAAACATGAGGGTTTTATATTGTTTTCTTCTTCTCTCTTATTTATATAATTCAATTTTCAGTTGTATACTTCATCATCATCTCCATGTATGTAGGTGTGGAAAACATCAATTATATTGAACATTGTACAATCAATAGTTCAGTTCAATCCAAAAAAAAGAAAGAAGAATCTTATACAGTTATCAATTACAAGGGTCAGTATTCCAAGTAAATTTCCAACTTTTTAGGTCTGATAGCACAGAGGAGAACTATGATCTCTCTTTCTCTGGAGTGAGAAATAATGCATACACTACCGCATTGTGATGATGAGACTTCTATCGGTAAACTTGGCACCTCCCACCTTTCCTTGAATTTGAGATGGCAGATGGATGACACGTCTTTGATCCCCCGCTTCCACAAGCAACTCTGATCCTCCCCTGAACTGCAATTTTGTCCAAATTTGAAAAATAATCATCATTTTCTGTTGAAAAAGCAGACAACAATTGCGCACACACAGAGACATGCACAATGTAATTCATGCTTTCAACAAGTTGAATCATCAGCTACAGAAACAAGCTTTGCAAAATTCCACACTGCAAAAAACCATATTTTTACAAGTGGCTCATTTACTGTTGTCACTGGATGCCGAAACATAGAATGTCTTATGCCCTACAAATCAAATCAAAACAAAAGTATGTCTCCCACTAGGCTCTAGAAGTATAATCTTATATTCCCATCGTTCCTTATTTTGCCCTTCTAAATCATGATATATCACAAAAATAAGTATACGAGTTCTTTCTCTATTACTTTTTAATGACCTAAAACATTTAAAGTTCCCTTTCTTTTAGTTTTGCTCTGTGAAAAGTGTACTTCAAATCATTTCACCTTCCTTTGATTGAGATGTCTAGAAAGGATCTGTACTAGCAAGATCCATTTAAATACAATAAAAAGAAGTTGGAACAGAAAAATGAAAGAGAATGAGAGCATACTTGGTATAGTTTGATTTCTGACTTGTCGAAACCTGGCATAAAGAGGGTGACTGATTTCTTGGCAGGATCAAACCTGACTGAAGGGACAATAGGGATGTAATGGCTTGTTTGCACAGAGAGAAGTTCTTGTGCATCTTTACTGATTTCGTTCAGCAATATCTCATTCCAATTTCGAGAGGGTTCCATTGAGATAGTCGGAATGAGAGAATAAGGTAATGGTGAAAAGTTCTTCTCAACTGTTTCCATTGATTCTACACGAGAACTTGGAGACACAATACCAAATGCACCAGAAACCTGTGCACCAGCTTGGATTGTACAACCCCAAAAACGTAAAGCAGAGTTCACGGAAGCTGGGCTGTTTGGGTCCATCACAAGGTAGCAGCCAAATCTACTTGGTTCCGCAAAGACAGAAGATCCTTTCTACAGTGCACATAACATAACCAATCCAAATCTAAAATTGACTTGCATTAACAGAGGATAACAACATGAAATGGGTATCAAAATACCTCCAGAGTTTGTTCTAGATCGTCCCATATTTCTGCACTCATTTTCCCATTGAGCTGGGACCCTCTAGTGCTTGAACTAATAGCTTCATCTGCAAATCTCAAGAGAGATGGACCAGCCAACCTCCCAAGGTCAGTCTTTTCAGCCAAGTTTCGCAAATACTTCAAGTACAATCTGTACAGAAACATGTGATTACATGAAGATTGAGAGAATCACATGAAGCGAGAGAGAGAGAGAGAGAGAGAGAGTTCTTCCTAACCTTGCTTTGCTAGTTGCACCAATCATCCGTATAGTTTCTTCAGTACTAATACCATCATATACAATTACATCAAATTTATCTTCCTGCCGGTTTCTTTGAGCAACATTCCTAGAGAATCCTACAAGCCTCTGAAGTGCTAAAGCTGAAAATATAGAATCCATGCCAGGGAGAACCCCAAGCTCTTCTCCAACCACCTACCATACCACCAAAAAAAAAAAAAAAAAAACAAGAACCGCCCATGGATAAAAGCATAACTGAGGAAACAATGTCTTTCAGACACAAGAAATCCAAATAATCAAAATGATTGTTACATAGCCACCCCTTCGAGCACTCCTTGGGTCATATTAAGACGAGCATCTGCTTGCTTCAGCCGATTGAGAGGTTCAAGCAGCATCTGCAATTATTGGGAATAATTTATCTAGAGTCAAAACTACTTAAATTTAAACAGCAGTATCAGATATAGGGAGTATAGGAAGACAGAAAAACACACTTCAGTAGTTTCCAGCCTAACAGCTGAAAGGTTGTTGTTGCATGTGATTGGAGAAGTTCCAATCTTACAATTTAGAAGATAGTCAGCAGTAGGATCTTGGGATTGTATCACCAAGCATGTTTTAAGCCCAGCCATTGCATAATGCTGATCAACAAAAATTGATTAGTTAAATTTTGAGAAAATTTTAGAATAAACCCAATGGAATTATATACAAAAGTAAAGGAAGATTCCCAAAACATAATAATCAAATTCATTATGACAGAGTAAACAAAATATATCATCTAAATCTACATGACAGACTGACACTACCTACGTGCTCTTTTTTTTTTTTTTTTTCTCTGAAAAAGAAAACAAAATATAACAAATAATTCCAATTAAGAAACAAGCAATAATGGTGTTGAAGAGTTTTCCTAAAGGTCATGTGCTTTGAGGAAGAAAGTTTAGCATCATTCTCCCTGCATGTTTCTTGTGTTTATTTAGCTAGGTATGATATGCAAAGACTACAAGTTAAGGCCTTTTCAATTGTAGAATCTAAAAATTGTCAGTTTTCATTTCATACTTGGTTAGATATGTGAAATACCCAGATTAACTTATGCTTACCATAGGTTTTATAAAATGTTTGGATCGTGAATTTGGAAAGGGAAAAGACAGAGTTAGGTAAAATGTGAAAGAAATATAACTACATTATATTTCACCTACAATTTACCCACTTTTTTCTTTTCCCTTTTCAAATCTCTATCCAAATTCATAATCCAAACACAGCCTTAGCCTTGAAGTATCTCAATTAGATGTCTTGAAATATCCCTTCCTCAACTATTAAGCTCTAAAAACAACTCATCTTTTTTATTTTTATTTTTTTTGTAATTATTTTGTCAATCAACCCAACTGGTCACTTCTTTCCCAATAATTACTACGTAGATGAACACTAATTTGAAAATCATCAAAGAAACAAAGGTACATTTCCATTAGCATTCAGAAAACTAGCAAAAACCCATCACTATGAACAAATATTACAGTCCAATTAATTATAATTGAAGCCCAATTGAATGAACAAATTGAAAGCATTTCCATTCATACACAGAAAAAAGGTAAGTCAGAAACAATTTGTGCCCCCGAAACAGAAATCACAAACAATAATATAAGATGTGAATTAGTAACCTGAGCGGCGAAGATGGAGGAAGTGGTCTTGCCAGAGCCGCCTTTGCCTAAAAATGTGACCAATTTGGTTAATTTCTGAGGAGAAGAAGGGGCTTCATTATTCGCTGCCATGACCAAAACACGAAGAGCTCTTCTTCGAGTCAGTCTGGGAAGATTTCGTAGGATAGACTTGTGTCTGGTGGGTAATGAATATGAATTTGAATAAGAAGAAGGAGAAGGAGAAGGAGGAGGAGGAAAGAGTAGTGATGGAGTCAAAGAAGCCATTTTCTGCAGATTGGATGATGATGATGCGATCTCAAACCTCCCAACCTAAGTGGTTGCGATGTAGACGAGAAACTAGTGTTAGCTACATATAAATATTTTATATGTAACGTAACCAGAGAATGAGAAACGCAAAGAGCGGCGAAACGGAATCGGGAGATGGGTGTCAACTTGGGGTAGGTTCGGTGTGCAACCGCTAAATCGGTTTGTAGGGTTGCTGGTAAGATTTAGGCAATATATTAGTACATTTTTTTTTAAATTTTTTTTTTTTAGATATATTTATTCGTAAAAAATCAAAAAACGCTCCGTTTAGAATAAAAGTTGGGATTAAAATAGTTATTTTAGCTAAATAAAATAAAATGTCACATCCAACCCATAATTATTTAATTTTTTCTTTCACAAAATTAAAAAAAAAAACCAAAAACCTATCTCAAACAAAATTTTTTAACTTCAGACTAAAATAATAAATAAGTAAACCCATATCCCAAACGAACCTTTATTTAGGCCTATTTTATTGCAAAAGTCAATTTTTTGGCTTCTTTTTTTTTTTGTCGCATGATCTCATTATTATTTTTACATATTTTTTAAAAAGTTTAAAAAAAATTAAAAAATTAATTTTTAACTTATTTCCCAATGCGACCTTTTAAACTTTAATACTTACACTGAAATTGATATGCTTTACCTAACTCAATTAAATTAATTAAGGGTACCCAGCAAAAATATAAATAAATAAATTAATAATTAATTAGAGTATTTACCGATCGGATCGATCATTGTAAAAGTAAATCCGAAATTAAAATGATTTTTACTGTTTTAGAAAAATTAAAATCATAATCCAACCATTGTGAAAGTGGACTAGAATCAGTTAGATTCTACGATTCTATTTTTTTTTTTATAATAAAAATATGCATGATATAAATTTTATGTTAGTAATAAGCTAATAAAAATTAGTTTGCTTAAATTTATTAGAGTTTGTTAATTACACCATCAAAATTAGATTTCAAATCTTATAAAATAAAAATATCTTGTAAATTACAAATATAAAAAAATAATAAACAAATATATCAGGTTCCATTTGGTTTGTAATCATAATCAAAGCCTTAAAATTGGAAACTGAATCGATTGAACAATTTTACTATTTTCAAAACTATAACAAGAACTGAAACTAATAAAATTATACCAAACCAAACCAACAATTTGAATGGTTCTATTATTTTTTTTAAACACCCCTAAAACTAATTGTTATTAGTTTATGAAAAATTATATCTGGGTGTGTAACATATGTCTCAATTTCAACACTTGTGATATTTGATTATAACCTATTTTGCTATTAGTTATAACTTGGTTATGCGAACTAGTCTGACACAGACTCCTAAATTAAAACAAGTTATATTCAACTCTTTTACACTGTATCTAGAGGTGTTTGTGGTACGGTTAAGATGATTTGAGAGTAAAATTATAAATCGAAACGTAAATGGCGGATTGACAAATAACCAAACAACAGTTTGGGTGATTTGGGGCGGTTTCAATTTGTTAGTTGATTGAAAAATATTATTAAACAATTGTCAAACATTTGCATAATATATAACACTAATTTACATAATATTTTTCATATATATATATATATATATAACTACTAATTTACAATAAATTTTATATCTTAAATCTCTCTCACACTCATTTTTACTTTAATGCTTCTTTAAAGGTTAAAAAAATGTATATAGTAACTATACTGGAGCGGAGCGGTTTTGAAAGTAAATTATAAATTTTAAAATTTAATCCGTTATTAGTGGATGGATTGGTGCGAATTTGTGCCATTTTAGCAAATTGAACGGTATTTTGCACAACCGTAGTTATAATAAACAGTCCCACTGTGATTTTTTTTGGGTGAATAAATCATAAAATAAAAACAGAAGATATACACAAATACAAGGGATATGCCCCAGGCCCTAACCCTAACTATACAAGCAACCTAAAACAGCCTAAAAAGGCCAGCCAAATACAGAACAAGCTGAGACAAAATAACTACAACTAATGTGATGTTGATTATAACTTATGTGGTGTTTAATTATGACTCATTTTTTTAGTTATGGCTAAAAAGGATTTGTGATAATCAACACTACAAATATCCTAACTTGTATATAGTATACACCCTTTTATGTATTAATCTTCTTATCTCAATATACGTCCTGACTTTGTCTCTCTAGTTTGAGAGCTTCTCACTCTACACTTTTCTTCTTTTAGGGTTTTTGAGGGCTGCGACAGTCGGGGGAAGGGGGGGGGGGGGGAGGAGATTCTGGCGGCTTCTGGCTTTCTCTCCCCTCCTCTTACCTCAATTTTCTGTTTCATTTTCTTGTTTAGCTGCCAATAACCTGGAAGCTCTGTACTTCCATCATTTCCCTTTTTTGTGGGGTGTTTCTTTCCTCCGCTTTAACTCCGGCCGCGGTCTCACTGGCTCTGCTGCTGCTAGGAAACCAATTATATTAGGAAGTCTATTTCTTTTCAATTACTATGTAATCAATTTAGGTAGTCTAATCAATTTAGGTAGTCTAATCAATTTAGGAAGTCTAATTATATTAGGAAGTCTATGTTATTTTTCTTATATAAAGATGCTTATTGTAATGGTTTGAAGGAGATTAAATAATATTAAGAGTTTAGGTGGCTAATCCCCAATTCAAAGGATTGTTGGTGGCTGATCCCCAATCAAATGATCATATTTAGGGTCTAGGACCCTATCATCTGGTATCAAAGTATTCGATCTTTGAGCTTCCATCTCTGCCTACTCTGTCATTCATCATTATCAACATGACTATTAAGGAACTCGAAGAACAAGTTGCTGCTCTTACTACTAGAATAGACGTGATGTCTACCAATATGCAAGAGTTGATACATGATAGACAAACCAATAATACCATTCTTCAAAATATCCAAGCGCTGTTATAGGATAGGCAATGTGAAACTCGCCTTCTCTAACTTGGCATCAATATTAATCCACCTATACAACGCGACGATGATCGGCGTGCTGGTCCAAAATTTCAAGGTTGAATTCTCATAATTGATTTTTCAAAATTTAACGGTACTGATCCTGAAGGGTGGTTATTTCAGGCTGAACAATATCAAGAACTTAATGGTGTTTTAGATGCACAGATAGTTCCTTTGGTTGCAATGTACTTTCAAGGCGATGTTATTTCTTGGTATCGCTGGATTAAACAGTCCCTTGGGGTTTTGACTTGGCCGTAATTTTCTCGAGCCATATGTGACCGTTTTGGTTCTTGACAATACGTTGATTCTTGTAGTTCATTAGCCAAATTGTCTCTGATTGGCATTGTTCATGAATTTATTACAGAGTTTGAGCGACTTGCTAATATGGTTCTAGGTTTGCTTAAGTCGCATCAAATTAGTATTTTTCTTTCTGGATTTCGTGCCAACATAAGGGCTGGTGTTCGTTTGCTTCGTCCAATGAGTCTAACCGAGACCTTTGAATTAGCACTTGGCCAAGAGGATGCAATTATAGCAACCATCGCACATTATATGATCAAGACTCACTATAAAAAAAAACACCTTTCGCGGCCACCTTTTTTGAGATGGTCGTAAAAAAAGTACACTAATCTGCGACCAACATTTATTTTGGTCACGGATGATTGTGTTTTCGTGACCAACATTTTTTTGGTGGCTAATAGGTAATTTTTTGCTACCAAATACAAAATGTGGTCGCAGAAAGTAATGGCGAGAGCGTGAAAAAAAAGGCAAGACGTCAAATCCTTTGGTGACCAATAGATTGTGGTCACAAAAAGGAAAAAGGATATACTTTGTAACAAAACTACGTAGTTTTGAAATTCTTAAATCAAAAACACTTTTCCTTAATCTTGAGCTTCTTTCATTGTTGTCCTATTTCCTTAATCAAAAACACGTTTCCTCTCTTATCACTCTCTACACTTCCGATCGATTCATCGAAACCCTAGCCACCATCTCCTCACTTCGTCCCCTATTTTTGTTGCTTTTCATCTTTACCTCAGCTATTATACTTACCAGGTCAATGGCTCTCTCTCTTTCTCTCTCCCTCTCTCTCTGTTCGTGTATATATATAATCGATTGACCTTCCTTTTTTATTGTTGCCCTCTTTTAACTCTGTATGTTAGATTAGTTACTATCCAGCAACTTCTCACTCTCTACACTTCCAATCAGTTCATCGAAACCCTAGCCGCCATCTCCGTTCACTTCATCCTCTGTTTTGTTGCCTCTTCATCTTCAGCTCCGTCATTGTGCTTACCAAGTTAGTCTCTCTCTCTCTCTCAATATATATATATAACGTTTTTTTTAGATCCCTCTAATAAGTCATGTTTCACCGAATGCTCTCTCTAATTTTTCAACTCTACTCTAGTTTCTTCCATCACCCACTGTCTGTTAGATTTCTTTTCCCTCTTTATGATATGACCATTTACTCGCTACCCTGATTTCTATTTCTAGTGAAGAATCCATATCTATGTCTATATCTATATCTTTGTGCATATTATAGCAAAAGGTCTTTTCAATAAGGAGAGCTATTAGAGCTCTATGTCCTCAACTTAAATTTGTTGATTTGTCAACTTTAAAAATAAATAAATAATCTATTAGCCCACATTTCTCTTCTAAAATTTTTCCTTTCTTATAATTAAAAAAGAAAAAGAAAAAGAAAAAGGAAAGTAATTTCTCTCACATTCTCTCATTTCTCTATACTAAAAAAGATAATTTGCCTCGTATCTCTCACACTCATATATACTGAAGAAAAGATGAAGCTGTTATTCCATTTCTTGAATCTTACAAAATGTTCATATTTATATCTATAGCTATACCTATACAACAGATATGTATCTAAACATTCTAACTATAGCATCAATGAATGTAGAAGGGTGACAGAGAATAGAACCATAAAAAAAAGTGTTGTAATTGAATCGTGTATGTATGTTTATTTATTTGTGTTTGTATGTTTTAAATTCTAGAAATTGGATCTATTTGCATATATCGATTAGAGGAGTTAAAGGGTTGAATTTGATGTTATATGTTTCTTCTATGAGATTTTGTAAATTTTTCTCAGGGTTTATAATAGGACATAGCCAATTGTTTTGTTTGTTTATTTATTAAATTATTATAGTCATCAATTAATGTGATATACTCTAAAAATCATTATTTTGTAAGCAGGAATTATAATCCCAATGTTGGTTTGCTAAGAAAATTAAGTTAAAATGTAGGAAAAGTATTGAACTTTACAATTTATTTTCAATTAGGCTGCATAATGGAATGATATTTTAATTCCATCTCATTCCAATAAACCAAACATTACAAAACACCCTTTCATGCAGTTCACCCTTGTTACAAGTTGGATCAACCTAATCCTTTTCTAGAATATTTAAACTAGAGGACAGTGATGTGTCCTCCAATAGATCTTCAAAACAGATCATTATGAAGTCATTTATGATTCAAATTGTAATGAATTTTTTTGTTGATAATTTCAATACTTATAATGTAGTTCTAATATTAGACTATTAGCTTATCTTATAATTTCATGAATTGTCATGCATTTTAAATCTTTATTAATGCATTGCTTACAATTCATTTGTTTTATACAAAGACTACACATATGCCACTTGGGCAAGCCAATAAAAAGAGGTCGAAGACTTCAGTGTCAGAGGCAACCCCGATTGAGGTCCCAGCTCACATGTCAATAGCTCCATCTCCTGTGGATGCATCTGCAGATCTATCTCTTGTGCATGCATCTCCATCTTTGTAAACAACTGATATTGGTAAGTGTTTCATCCTTTGTATAGAACAATTTGATTCTTGCTCCTGAAATTATAATCAATGTTGAGTAGTTACTACATGCTTACTCTTTTTGGAGTGATTATGATGGAAAATTTGTTAGTATTGAAGTATGACCCTATTATGTGTGGTTATATTCTAGTCAATTAGTCTTCGTAATTCATTTTGTTTATTGACTTCTTCATTTACATATGTTATTTAAAGAGAGTTCTTAAAATCTACTGTCTGTATATACAGCAGCAGCAACCTATATAGCAATAGCCTATAAACAATACTAACAAATTTCCTATATAGCAGCAACCATCAAAGTGTATATACAGCAACTATTTATATAGCAGCAACCTATAAACAATTCTTTAATTGTCCTTATTCTTGTAGAGTGTGGACATTACATTGTTTATAACATATGGATTGAAAGAAATAATAGTTCTTCATTTTGTGTTTATAATATAGGTTCATCAGTGAAGCGAGTACGAGGTCCAACGACGGTTTAATGTAAAATTGGTTATCAACTTGTACTATATTCTTTCCATCTAGCTTATGTATTTATATATTCTTTCCATCCAGCTTATGTATTTATATATCACAAAAAAAAAATATATATATATATATATTTGACGAAAGAGATCATAGACAAAAGAGGATGTGGAGAATAAAAATCAATGGTTAAAATTGAAGAACAAATAATTAAAAAAAAAAAAATAGTGGAGTGACATATTCAAAATAATTTAAAAAACAAACTATAGGTTAAAAGCTTATCTTCTCTAAAAGCCTATCTTTTTTCAACTCAGTGGGGTACAAACAAAAATTTATGATGTTAGTGAAGTATGCATGGTGAATTGAATTGAAGGTTGGCTTCTTTAAAAAGATAGAAGAAATTATATTATCCTAGACATAGAAATTTTATAATCATGAACATGAAATAATTGCAAGCTTGAATAAAGGCATATACATTCCATGATGCATTAAACTTGAGAGGCATAGACATGATATAATCCTCCTTTTTTATTTTTTTTTAAATATATAATTTTCCCCCCCATTTTAACTAGGACATGGAGGCAAGAACAAGACTCCACCTGATTGGCAAGATAGATATAGAATAGCTTATGTATGGTTGTGTTCTAGTTAATCAGTCTTCGTAATTCATTTTGTTTATTGACTTCTTCATTCACATATGCTATTTAAAGAGAGTTCTTAAAATCTATTATCTATATATACAGCAGCAACAACCTATATAGCAGCAGCCTATAAACAACCTATATAGCAACAGCCATCAAAGTGTATATACAGCAGCAACCTATATAGCAGCAGCCTATAAACAGTTCTTTAATTGTCCTTATTCTTGTAGAGTGTGGACATTACATTGTTTATAACATATGGATTAAAAGAAATAATAGTGTTCCATTTTGTGTTTATAATATAGGTTCACCAGTGAAGTGAGTATGAGGTCTAACAAGGGGTAAGAACACTAGTAGACTTATCACCCAACATAGTGGCAAGAAGCTTTTTGTTAGAGTTTCTATTGAGCGGAGAATATTTGTGGGGCTTAATGCCACTAAGGCGGCTAATGAATTGGGGGCACAAATTTGATTGCAAGGAACATAAAATTGGGAGGACATTCCACCAGCCATTTGAGCAGTTATCGTATAATCCTTGCGGGTAATTTAATTTTTATAGTTGTTGAGATTGAAATAGTTAATATATATATGATATTTAATTTTCATTTTGTGTTTAATTGGGACATGATAAGTTTGATATTGAAGGATATGATGAGAGTCCACTTCCACAAGAAATTATTGACACAAGGTCCACACATTTGTTCAAAGGCTGGTGATATCATATGAATCAACATTACAAAGAGTTGGTGAAAGAAGGTATATATCCTTATAGTAAGCCATTTGTTGGGGTGAGCCAAGAAGATTGGAGGTACATGATTGATGAAGTGTTTCTTGATGACACACACAAGGTAATTAACTTAATAGTCATGGACGTTTCTTCTAATTGCACTACAAATCCATGGATGTTTCAATATGAATAACTCAAAGTTCCCAAGTTTCTTTGAAATTCAAAGAATGGCTGTTGATATATACAATTATACATGAGACATAGAGATGATGCAGGCTAGACGATTTTAGTTATTACGTTGAATTTATATTGAAATTTGGAGTCCTTATTAGGTAATCTTGTCAACCAAAGATGATGCACACTAGACCATAAGGCAACACTTTTAACATTGTGATATGGTTTCTTGGTGACACACACAAGGTAATTAACTTAATAGTCATGGACGTTTCTTCTAATTGCACTACAAATCCATGGATGTTTGAATATGAATAACTCAAAGTTCCCAAGTTTCTTTGAAATTCAAAGAATGGCTGTTGATATATACAATTATACATGAGACATAGAGATGATGCAGGCTAGACGATTTTAGTTATTACGTTGAATTTATATTGAAATTTGGAGTCCTTATTAGGTAATCTTGTCAACCAAAGATGATGCACACTAGACCATAAGGCAACACTTTTAACATTGTGATATGGCTGTCACTTTACAACCATGACATATATTCAACCAACTGCTTTTCAATGGAAAAATATGTTTTAACTCGGGGTTTTAAGTCCCTATTATGTAATCTTGTCAACTTCCTTAATATTTAAAGAAAGGTCAAGCAAAACCCAATGCTAACAAACTAATGCGTTGGAAAATGAATATGTCCATGGATGCTATTCCTTTGTGCATTCTGTAGCACTTCATTAATTTATTTACTATTGCTTAACAGTTGAAAACTCTCTCTCCAGGATTATAGTGACATCCCTATCATACACAACAAACTAATGTGTGTGTGTGTGTGTGTTATTTTTTTTGAACTGGACAATAAGGCTGTGTGTGATTTTTAGCTTTGGGAGTGGAGTTAGATCCATAGATTTTGACAAAATTAAAATAGAAATGTAAACAAAAATATTATTATTAACAATGCTTTCTTCAATTTTTTTATTATAGGTAGCCAAAGGCGTAGTCATGTGTGTTTATGGACCTGAGTTTGCCGGTGCATTAATTCTAAGTTGTGCTTATACGTAGAGTTTTTGAGATACTTCGCGTCGGACAAATATGACATGCATTTGAAATCTTTGATGGTTTTGTAAATATTTTTTAATGTGGTGAATTTGTTTTAAGGATGGATGGTTATTTTGGACGTGCAATGTGTTCATGTTGATTGGTGGTTGTAATTACATACATTAACTACTATTTTGACTTTATAATTGATGATTTTTTGTTTTTAGATTGGATTCTTGATGGATTGGTATATTGAAATTGATTTGATGAACATGAATTATGTATTAATTGCAAATGTATTACAGGTATTAAAAAAGTTTAGCATTGTATTTAAAAAGTTCATTTTTGAAATTAAAAGCTTTTTTGCGGCCAATAAAATTTTAGTCGCAGTCAGGTTCTCGGAATAACTATTGGCGACCACTAATGTAGTCACTAAAACATAAACTTTCTGCGACCAACTTAATTCTTGGCTGCCAAAAACCTTAATTTCCGCGACCACTATTTTATTGCAAATGAACATTCTTAACAAATTTAAATCCTTTTAATTAGCGACAAAACTATATGGTCGCTAATGGTAAATTTCCCCAACCAACTTAATTCTTGGTCACCAAAAACCTTCTTTTCCGTGACCAATATTTTTTGTCGCAAATGCCCAATCTTCAACAAATTTAAATCCTTTTCGTGACCAAACTATATGGTCGCTAATGTTAACTTTCAGCGGCCAACTTAATTCTTGGTTGACAAAAACCTTCTCTGATGGGCTTTTTACGACTACATGGTGACCAAATTTTGTTGGTCGCCAACTACTATTAGCGACCATATATTATCTTTCGGCGACCAAAAAGTTGGTCGCTAAAAGTGTTATTTCTTTTTTTTTTTGATCGGCAAAAAGAGAGACTTTATTGATGTAAAAATCTAGTACAAGGTACAAAACAAATTATACCAATAAAGAAAAGAAAAGGGAGAGTGCAAGAGCATCACAATGAGCTAAATCACCCTAATGAGGTTGGCACCAAAAAGCCCATCCTATCATTTGCTAGCACCCCCGAGTTGGTGAGGAACCAACGAAAGGAACAGACCAAACACCAAACCAATACTGCTAGACCAAAACAGATCAACAAATTAGGACAGAACTCCAGCAGCATGCATATTCAGATCAAAACAACCCAGCAACAACCATCAAATTAGAACAGATCAACAACAGCCATTAGAGCAGATCACTAGCAGCAGCCAATCTCATATCACCAGCAGCAGCCAATCTCATATCACCAGCAATAGCCATTCTCAGGGCACCCTCAGTAAAGATACAGGCTCAACCAACCAGCCAAGCTCAACAATCAGACCACTACTTGAGACACAACACCAGCGAGCTCAACAAGCTCAACAAACACAGGAACCAACTTGAAGACAATAACATAACATAACAATATAGCACATGACAACACAAACTGATACAGAATAACACAGCAGAACAACAAACTTCATCACAAAACTTCACCCCAATCTTCACCCAGCAAAACGACATAGCAGTGTAATTAATAACCAAATCATTGAAACCCTTATTTCATTGAACCCCTATTTCTGCTACAAAACTTCACCAGGAATAGCCCAAAACAACAGTCCTACATGACCAAATCCTCATGCCAAAATTTGCAAAGAGCCCAGATGCCCACATCACTGCATATCAAAACAATAAAACAAGAGCACAAAGCTACAGATAGACCAGATACCAAACCCACAGAGCTGCAATCCCATAGACCCACATAACTGCAAACCAACTCTAATCTGCAAACAGAACAGATACAGAGCAAGACCATAAACACCTGCTGCTGCACACCAGAAGACATGGATGTCAATGTAAATTACAACGAACCCTGCCACCTAAACAAGCTCTAATAAGCCAGATGTGATAGATAAAGTCAAAAATAGTGAACTGACAATCCTTAGAAGATGTTTTCAACCAAATGGCTAATCTAATAATAATTGCCTCCTGTAACTCCTCCATATCTGGCTGAATATTATTGAACAAGCAATCATTCCGATGTTTCCAAATGGACCAGAGAGCAACAAAAGGGATAGCTTTCCATATCCTCCTTTTAGTTTTCAAGAGGCAGTTCCCAGCCCACCAATGCAGTAAGCAGTCAACAAATCCAGGCACAGCCCATAATATTCGCCACCTCTGCAATAGTCCAGTCCAGACCTTCCAGACCTTAGGGTAAGAAATTAGAACATGTTCAACAGATTCTGCCTCAGATTTACAAAAAACACATAGAGTGGATGCTCCCTCACCTAGAACTCCCACCCTTTGAAGGAAAATAGAAGTTTTAAATTTATGTTTCCAAGCTAGCCACCCAAAAAATTGAACTTTGGGGGGGAGGTAGTTAATCCACACTAATCTACTAGAACTCTCAAGTACACTAAAACCCAATTTACAGTGCCTATATAAAGAAGCAACAAAGGACTGACCTGTTTGGCATGGGAGCCACCTTGGTTTATCTTTTTCACCTAAACAAAGTGTAGGTGCTGCTCTCAACAATTCAGTGAGTCTGGATGCCTCCTTATCCTCCCACTGTAACAAAGGCCTTCTTAAACTGAGATCCCACATCTCAAATGATCCTTTATTATCAACAAAGAACTTGAGGGAACCATTCTTAATAGTGGATAAGGAATAAAGTCTAGGAAAACCCTATTTTAAACAACAATCACCACAACATTTGTCCTACCAAAATTTGAATCTGCACCCATTACCCACTTTAATATGAAGATTATCAAGAAAAAATTGTAGGAGGGTGTTTCTTTGCTCTGCCATAGCTAGTATATCACCCCAAATCTTAGACCATCTTATGCCAACTGTTTGATTTGGAAGCCAAGCTCCTACTTGAATTTTATATTTATAGCAAACCACTTTTTTTCATAGTGCCTCCTCTTCATTGGCAAATCTCCACCACCACTTCATTAATAGACAAACATTAACCTCCTTGATTCTCCTAATTCCCAACCCACCTTGACTAATGCTTTTGGTCACCTCTTTCCATTGCATTAGATGAATCTTTCTTTTTAATTTTGTGCCCCCCCACAAGAATGCAGCTTGTAATCGATCTATTCCTTTTGCAACACCTTCTGGCATCTTGAAAAGTGACAGATAATACACAGGCAGCCTGGACAGCACTCACTTAATTAGTGTCAGTCTGCCAGCAAAGGACAGAAGCCTCCTTTTCCACCCAGCAATCTGCTTTTGATTTTGTTAATGACAGGTTTCTATACCTTCTTTCTTCTTGGAGAAGCACCTAAAGGTAGGCCAAGGAATTTCAGTGGCAAACTCTGGGTTTTACAATTAAGCAAACTAGCAAAATCCTTGAGACAACTATTAGAAATTCCTACCCCACAAACCACACTCTTGTGGAAGTTAATCTTAAGCCTTGATACCATTTCAAAACATCTTAAGATTCTTTTCAAATTCATCACCTTCTGCACATCAGCTTCACAAAAGAGTAGTGAATCATCAGCAAATTGTAGATGTGAAACAACCACCCCATTGACTCTAATATAAATCCATTTAATCAAGCCCAACTCCCTAGCTCTGAGCAGTAGAATATTAAGGCCTTCAGCTGCCAAATTAAACAGAAAATGCGATAATGGATCACCCTATCTGAGACCTTTTGAGGACTAAACTCTTTAGTTGGTGACCCATTCACAAGTACTGAAATTCTAATAGTTGAGATACACTCTTCATCCAAGAAATCCATTTAGAACCAAAACCAAAATTTACAAACATGGAAAACAAAAAACTCCAATTAATGGAGTCACAAGCTTTCTCAAAATCAAGTTTAAACAACAGACCCTTCTTTTTGGCTTTCTTCCATCCATCCACAACTTCATTCGCAATCAAAACCCCATCCAAGATATTTCTTCCACCCAAAAAAGCTGATTGAGTTTCACTAATTACTTCTGGAAAAACTAGTTTTAGTCTACTTGCAAGAACCTTAGACAACAGCTTGTACATTGACCCAATCAAACTTATTGGCCTATAATCATTTAGATGAAGAGCTTTAACCTTCTTAGGAATTAGAGTGATGAAAGAGCTATTCATTCCATAAGCCAATCTACCCACACTGTAAAACTCCTTCATGAAAAGCATCACATCTTCTTTAAACATCTTCCAGTTCTTTTGAAAACACATGAAGTTGAATCCATCTGGACTTGGCACTTTGTTCCCATTGCATTCTTTTACTGTTTCCCATATCTCTTCCTCCGAGAATTCTGCTTCCAACTGCTGGAAACCAGCACTACATCTGACACTCTTAAAGTCACCAATCAAAACAAGTCTCGTCCTCCAATCCTTTGAAAAGTGCTTGTTAAAATGAGCCCATACCTCTTGCTTCACTTGTTCTGGATCCTCAACCATCCTCTCGTCAACTAAAATAGAATTTAATGCGTTTCTATTCTACCTATTGCTGGCCATCATATGAAAAAATCTTGTGTTTCTGTCCTCTTTTAAAGTCCACTCCAATCTTGACTTTTGCAGCCATTCCCATTCCAATATTCTGCCGAGCCTCCACATTTCACTTCTTACCTCTCTTTTTAATTTCAACTCTACTTCCAACAAGGGTCTATCTTCAGCCAATAGATCCAAAAAATGCAGCTGCCTCTCAGCTTCTTTAAATTTTTCTGAGATATTACCAAACACCTCTTTGCTCCAATTCTTTAATGCTAACTTCAAAGCATGTAATTTCCTATGCAATATGAAACCAGCTCTGCCATTTATTTGTGTCTCTTGCTAAACTTTCACTAGAAAGGATGCAAAATTAGGATGTAGCAGCCACGCATTTGTGAACTTAAAAGGTTTGGGACCCCAGTCCCTATCATCCTTCAAAAGTACTAGAGGGCAATGATCAGAAATGAATCTAGGTAGTCCCCAAAGTTTGAGCTTGAATCTTTCTAACCACTCAGGATTAAGCAGAAATCTATTAATTTTACTCCATTTGTTGCCATTAATTGCATTGCACCAAGTGAATTTCCTACCCATCATTTGTATCTCAGTCAACTCACACCTATCTATGAAATCATTGAAGTCTTTCATACCCCTATCCCTTCTTGAACAGCCCACTCTATCTTCCAAATTTCTAATTTCATTAAAATCACCACCGAAACACCAAGGTGTAGGAAAGAATGCTTTCAAGTTTCCTAGACCTAGACTTTCCTATAATCTCCCTCTCCTCACAGTATCATTAGGAGCATACACATTGATAACAACACATTCAAAAGAGGAGAGAACAGTACCTGCAAGCAAAATGAAGCTTCTATTACTGCAACAATTTGAGAGCTGAAACACCTTAGGATCCCAAATGCAGAGCAATCCCCCTGCCCGACCTTCAGCATCAATAACCATATACTCCATTTTATCTCTAGGCCACACTCTTTTGACATCCACACTTGAAAGGCTTGCTTTTTTTGTTTCTTAAAATAGAGCCAACTCAATTTTCCTTTCTAATAAGAGCTTCCTAATTTTTCTCATCTTCTCAGGCCTTCCAAAGCCTTTGATATTCCAGCTTAACCACTTCATAACAACAAGTCTAATGCTCTTCACACTCACCCAATGGGAACTAATTAAGCTGCCCTATCAGCTCCAACTTCAATTCTTTCTTCATCTTGCTCTTCCATCTGAACAAGTTTTTTAAGCACTTCTTCATCTTGTCCCATGCAGTCAATCCCCAAACTGTTACCCAGAAGAAGTGTGAGTTGAGCCTCATGAAGTTTGCCTTTGAAACAACTACGATTAGATTTACCTGCGGCAGACTTCAACACAGCAGCAGCTGCAGATCTAACTACAACCCCTTTGTGGTTATTTTTACAGGAACCAGCCCCCCTCTGCCCTAATCTTCTAGTGAACCCAGAAAATCCACCAACTAGCATGGAATTTCTAGCACCCACTTTCCTTTTCCCTTTATTATTTCTAGGCTTTATCTTATTAGAAATAGATTCACTAATGGATACACTAAAAGAATCACCATCACCAGATTTAGAGTCTAGCACAATAGGTCCATGCTCAGCCCACTCATTGGGTTGGCTAATATCAGGACCATAATGTTGGATTGTACCTCGCCCATTGGTCTGAGGATTACTATGCTTATGGCCCAAGAGAACTTCCAAATTAATACCTGATCTGGCCCTTGAAGACCCACTCAAGCTTCTCACAAAACCTGATATATGAGTCTGACCACCTACTTTTAGAGTCTTATCATTACACCCCTGCAGCAGGCCTTCTATTTCCTTCATCACTGTCTCTGCCTCATGTGTGCCATCCTGCATTTCTTTCCCAAGACTCTCTTCATTCATACTTTTGTCAACCTCAGTTAATTTCCCAATGCAATCTTTAGACTCCTCAACTATTGAGATCTCCATCAAGCTATCGGCTGCTTTCATCTCACTTCCTTCCTCCCTCCTAGTTAGCAAATCCCCTTCAACCAGCTCGATATTATCGTCCACATCATCATCCACCACATCTGCCAGGTCATCTTCATCTTCCTCTCCTCTGGGAACATCCATGGGTTGCACCTCACCATTGACATTAGAGCTGACATACTCGTCAACACCTTCTAATCTGTTGCGTGTGTAAGTTGCCTTTACGTTCTTCACAATCTGCTCTTCACAAACTCTTATAGGGTACACTCTTCCTTTGCAATCCAGATTTACATTTGTATTTATCGGCTCCATGACTTTTGTGGCAATCTTTATCTTTCCACAACGAAAAGATGCTGCCTCACAGGTATCACCATCAAAATAAATCACATCCCCTCATAATCTTCCAATCTTTCTGAAGGTATCTGTATTCCAGACATTAAGTGGTATTCCGTAGCAACTCAACCATACAAACCTCTCTTGCTCAGGGTATATATATGTTAACCATTCCTTTATGAACTCACACCATTCCTGAAACCAGGCAACAAGCTTGCTTCTATTGATTCTCATATCCTCCTTTGACTTGAAAGTTATTACAACATCACGACCTCTACCCTCTCTTACTAACACACTAGTCATTTCTTTTCGTTTGAGCTCTTCTTTGATTGCCAGAATAGAAAATATTGGTTTGAGCCTTAGAATGATGCTTTCATACAGCCATCCATTGCCTATCTCCTTTACATTGATAGTAATCTTATACTTGTCGACTGAGTTTGCTCCCTTTAGGACCTCTGCAAACGATCTTTGATCAATGCCTTGGTTCCAACTTTTCGGCATAGTGCCTACTGTTACATTTTACCCCTCAATCATCCTCCTTATTGCAGGCTTTAACCATTTGTTTTCTCCATTGTCCTTCCCATACTCTACAGTTTTTACATTCAGTTTTCTATCATTTACCCATAGCCCATTTGTTTTTTGTGCTGCCACATTGGCTGCAACATGGCAATCATACCGCACAAAACCAAATCTTGAATTAGATGATCTCCTTCGCTTCTGAGGAATGAATACATCCCTAACCACCCCAAACTTAGTGAATAGCTCATACAAACTTCTTGGATTCATTGCTTCAGGTATATTGTCCACAAATAGAGTGAAAAAACCCGATCTTCTTCCATCAATCCTTACTCCTTGGTTTCTTGATCTTCCTTTCTGTTTCAGTACTGGAATCTACCCTCCTTGCTCTTCTCGTATTTTTTCTCCCATTTTTTTTAATAGATAGATAGATGCGTCATTGTTGCTATGCTGTTGCTAAAAGTGTTATTTCTTATAGTGACTATTTCTTGTCCATCTTCTTTACGGCCTTCTGACATATCTTATGTACCTAAGCCTGTTAACAAATTAACATCCTTACCTATTGGTGTTAAACCTTTGTCATGGACTGAACAGAAGGAGCTCTGTGAGATGGGTCTTTGTTTTAATTACGATGAGATTTATAAGCCTGGTCATCGATGCCAAAAGCCACAATTATCTCTCTTGGAAGGTAAACCGGAGGTCAAAGTTGAAGACTTTGAATTTGAAACCGTAGTTGGTGGTGTCCTAGAACCCGCAACTTTTGAAATTTCGTTACATGCTCTTATGTGGTCAACTCGACTTGTCACACGTTAAATTAGCAGAAGGATCAAGCTGTCACACGTTGGCTCATTCAGTGGAAGGGTGTAACACGTCCGCGAGGGACCCCGCTACAGTTCGGACTCGATTTGTGTCACGGTTCTTAATCTGAACCAAAGAGTCCAAATCTGGCAAATCGTTTTGAGAAAACAGATTTTTGAAAGAAGTGCCAAACATGGACTGCTTTGCCAGATACAGAGTCGCCACCTAAATATTTTTTTATGGGGGAATTTAGGAAACCCTGACTCGGTGCCGAAGGCCACATGTCCGTCATCACCAGAGTTGCCTCGGCTCGGGAGCTAGGGTACGATTGGGGAAGGTCAGCTATGAGCACCCCCTCTCGCCCGTGTTATTTCTTTTTTTTTTGATCGGCAAAAAGAGAGACTTTATTGATGTAAAAATCTAGTACAAGGTACAAAACAAATTATACCAATAAAGAAAAGAAAAGGGAGAGTGCAAGAGCATCACAATGAGCTAAATCACCCTAATGAGGTTGGCACCAAAAAGCCCATCCTATCATTTGTTAGCACCCTCGCGTTGGTGAGGAACCAACGAAAGGAACAAACCAAACACCAAACCAATACTGCTAGACCAAAACAAATCAACAAATTAGGACAGAACTCCAGCAGTACGCATATTCAGATCAAAACAACCCAGCAGCAACCATCAAATTAGAACAGATCAACAACAGCCATTAGAGCAGATCACCAGCAGTAGCCTTTCTCAGATCAAAACCAAACAACAAAATAGGATAGATCACTAGCAGCAGCCAATCTCATATCACCAGCAACAACCATTCTCAGGGCACCCTCAGTACAGATATAGGCTTAACCAACCAGCCAAGCTCAACAATTAGACCACTACTTGAGACACAACACCAGCGAGCTCAACAAGCTCAACAAACACAGGAACCAACTTGAAGACAATAACACAACGTAGCAATATAGCACATGACAACACAAACTGATATAGAATAACAAAGCAGAACAACAAACTTCATCACAAAACTTCACCCCAATCTTCACCCAGCAAAATGACATAGCAGTGTAATCAATAACCAAATCATTGAAACCCCCATTTCATTGAACCCCCATTTCTGCTACAAAACTTCACCAAGAATAGCCCAAAACAGCAGTCCTACATGACTAAATCCTCATGCCAAAATTTGCAAAGATCCCAGATGCCCACATCACTGCATACCAAAACAATAAAACAAGAGCACAAAGCTACAAACAGACCAGATACCAAACCCACAGAGCTGCAATCCCATAGACCCACATAACTGCAAACCAACTCTAATCTACAAACAGAACAGATACAGAGCAAGACCATAAACACTTGCTGCTGCACACCAGAAGACATGGATGCCAATGTAAATTACAACGAACCCTGCCACCTAAACAAGTTCTAATCTGCCAGATGTGATAGATAAAGTCAAAAATAGTGAACTGACAATCCTTAGAAGATGTTTTCAACCAAATGGCTAATCTAATAATAATTGCTGCCTGTAACTCCTCCATATCTGGCTGAATATTATTGAACAAGCAATCATTCCGATGTTTCCAAATGGACCAGAGAGCAACCAAAGGGATAGCTTTCCATATCCTCCTTTTAGTTTTCAAGAGGCAGTTTCCAGCCCACCAATGCAGTAAGCAGTTAACAGATCCAGGCACAACCCATAATAGTCCCCACCTCTGCAATAGTCCAGTCCAGACCTTCCAGACCTTAGGGTAAGAAATTAGAACATGTTCAATAGATTCTGCCTCAGATTTACAAAAAACACATAGAGTGGATGCTCCCATGCTCAGAACTCCCACCCTTTGAAGGAAAACATAAGTTTTAAGTTTATGTTTCCAAGCTAGCCACCAAAAAAATTGAACTTTGGGGGGGAGGTAGTTAATCCGCACTAATCTACTAGAACTCTTAAGTACACTAAAACCCAATTTACAGTGCCTATATAAAGAAGCAACAAAGGACTGACCTATTTGGCATGGGAGCCACCTTGGTCTATCTTTTTCACCTAAACAAAGTGCAGGTGTTGCTGTCAACAATTCAGTGAGTCTGGATGCCTTCTTATCCTCCCACTGTAACAAAGGCCTTCTTAAACTGAGATCCCACATCTCAAATGATCCTTTATTATCAACAAAGAACTTGAGGGAATCATTCTTAATAGTGGATAAGGAATAAAGTCTAGGAAAACCCTCTTTTAAACAACAATTACCACACCATTTGTCCTGCCAAAATCTGACTCTGCACCCATTACCCACTTTAATATGAAGATTATCAAGAAAAAATTGTAAGAGGGTGTTTCTTTGCTCTGCCACAGCTAGTATATCACCCCAAATCTTAGACCATCTTATGCCAACTGTTTGATTTGGAAGCCAAGCTCCTACTTGAATTTTATATTTATTGCAAACCACTTTTTTCCATAGTGCCTCCTCTTCATTGGCAAATCTCCACCACCACTTCATTAATAGACAAGTATTAACCTCTCTGATTCTTCTAATTCCCAACCTACCTTGACAAATGCTTTTGGTCACCTCTTTCCATTGCATTAGATGAATCTTTCTTTTTAATTTTGTGCCCCCCCCACAAGAACGCAGCTTGTAATTGATCTATTTCCTTTGCAACACCTTCTGGCATCTTGAAAAGTGACAGATAATACACAGGCAGCCTGGACAACACTGACTTAATTAGTGTCAGTCTGCCAGCAAAGGACAGAAGCCTCTTTTTCCACCCAACAATCTGCTTTTGATTTTGTCAATGACAGGTTTCTATACCTTCTTTCTGCTTGGAGAAGCACCCAAAGGTAGGCCAAGGAATTTCAGTGGCAAACTCTGGGTTTTACAATTAAGCAAACTAGCTAAATCCTTGAGACAATTATTAGAAATTCCTACCCCACAAACCACACTCTTGTGGAAGTTAATCTTAAGCCTTGATACCATTTCAAAACATCTTAAGATTCTTTTCAAATTCATCACCTCCTGCACATCAGCTTCACAAAAGAGTAGTGAATCATCAGCAAATTGTAAATGCGAAACAACCACCCCATTGACTCCAATATAAATCCATTTAATCAAGCGCAACTCCCTAGCTCTGAGCAGTAGAATATTAAGGCCTTCAGCTGCCAAATTAAACAGAAAAGGCGATAATGGATCACCCTATCTGAGACCTTTTTGAGGACTAAACTCTTTAGTTGGTGACCTATTCACAAGTACTGAAATTCTAACAGTTGAGATACACTCATTTATCCAAGAAATCCATTTAGAACCAAAACCACAATTTGCAAACATGGAAAACAAAAAACCCCAATTGATGGAGTCACAAGCTTTCTCAAAATCAAGTTTAAACAACAGACCCTTCTTCTTGGCTTTCTTCCATCCATCCACAACTTCATTCGTAATCAAAACCCCATCCAAGATATTCCTTCCACCCAAAAAAGCTGATTGAGTTTCACTAATTACTTCTGGCAAAACTAGTTTTAGTCTACTTGCAAGAACCTTAGACAATAGCTTGTACATTGACCCAATCAAACTTATTGGCCTATAATCATTTAGATGAAGAGCATTAACCTTCTTAGGAATTAAAGTGATGAAAGAGCTATTCATTCCATAAGCCAATCTACCCACACTGTAAAACTCCTTCATGAAAAGCATCACCTCTTCTTTAAACACCTTCCAGTTCTTTTGAAAACACATGAAGTTGAATCCATCTGGACCTGGCACTTTGTTCCCATTGCATTCTTTTACTGTTGCCCATATCTTTTCCTCTGAGAATTCTGCTTTCAACTGCTGGAAACCAACACTACATTTGACACTCTTAAAGTCACCAATCAAAACAGGTCTCGTCCTCCAATCCTTTGAAAAGTGCTTGTTAAAATGAGCCCATACCTCTTGCTTCACTTGTTCTGGATCCTCAACCATCCTCTCTTCAACTAAAATAGAATTTAATACGTTTCTATTCTACCTATTGCTGGCCATCATATGGAAAAACCTTGTGTTTCTGTCCCCTTTTAAAGTCCACTCAAATCTTGACTTTTGTAGCCATTCCCATTCCAACATTCTGCCGAGCCTCCACGTTTCACTTCTTACCTCTCCTTTTTAACTTCAACTCTGCTTCCAACAAGGGTCAATCTTCAGCCAATAGATCCAAAAAATGCAGCTGCCTCTCAGCTTCTTTAAATTTTTCTGAGATATTACCAAACATCTCTTTGCTCCAATTCTTTAATGCTAACTTCAAAGAATGTAATTTCCTATGCAATATGAAACATGCTCTGCCATTTATTTGTGTCTTTTGCTAAACTTTCACCAGAAAGGATGCAAAATTAGTATGTAGCAGCCACGCATTTGTGAACTTAAAAGGTTTGGGACTCCAGTCCCTATCATCCTTCAAAAGTACTAGAGGGCAATGATCAGAAATGAATCTAGGTAGTCTCCAAAGTTTGAGCTTGAATCTTTCTAACCACTCAGGATTAAGTAGAAATCTATCAATTTTACTCTATTTTTGCCATTAATTGCATTGCACCAAGTGAATTTCCTACCCATCATTTGTATCTCAGTCAACTCACATCTATCTATGAAATCATTGAAGTTTTTCATACCCCTATCCCTTCTTGAACAGCCCACTCTATCTTCCAAATTTCTAATTTCATTAAAATCACCACCTACACACCAAGGTGTAGGAAAGAATGCTTTCAAGTTTCCTAGACTTTCCAATAATCTCCCTCTTCTCAGAATATCATTAGGAGCATACACATTGATAAAGAAACATTCAAAAGAGTTGAAAACAGTACCTGCAAGCATAATGAAGCTTCTATTACTGCAACAATTTGAGAGCTGAAACACCTTAGGATCCCAAATGCAGAGCAACCCCCCTGCCCGATCTTCAACATCAACAACCATATACTCCATTTTATCTCTAGGCCACACTCGTTTGACATCCACACTTGAAAGGCTTGCTTTTTTTTGTTTCTTAAAATAGAGCCAACTCAATTTTCCTTTCTAATAAGAGCTTCCTAATTTTTCTCATCTTCTCAGGCCTTCCAAAGCCTTTGATATTCCAGCTTAACCACTTCATAACAACAAATCTAATGCTCTTTAAACTCACCCAGTGGGAACTAATTAAGCTGCCCCATCAGCCTAACTCCAATTCTTTCTTCATCCAGCTCTTTCATCTGAACAATTTTTTTAAGTACTTCCTCATCTTGTCCTATGCAGTCAATCCCCAAATTGTTACCCAGAAGAAGTGTGAGTTGAGCCTCATGAAGTTTGCCTTTGAAACAACTACGATTAGATTTACCTGCGGCAGACTTCAACACAGCAGCAGCTGCAGATCTAACTACAACCCCTTTGTGGTTATTTTTACAGGAACCAGTCCCCCTCTGCCCTAATCTTCTAGTGAACCCAGAAAATCCACCAACTAGCATGGAATTTCTAGCACCCACTTTCTTTTTCCCTTTATTATTTCTGGGCTTTATCTTATTAGAAATAGATTCACTAATGGATACACTAAAAGAATCACCATCACCAGATTTAGAGTCCAGCACAATAGGTCCATGCTCAGCCCACTCATTGGGTTGGCTAATATCAGGACCATAATGTTGGATTGTACCTCGCCCATTGGTTTGAGGATTACTATGCTTATGGCCCAAGAGAACTTCCAAATTAATACCTGATCTGGCCCTTGAAGACCCACTCAAGCTTCTCACAAAATCTGATATATGGGTCTGACCACCTACTTTTAGAGTCTTATCATTGCACCCCTGCTGCAGGCCTTCTATTTCCTTCATCATTGTCTCTGCCTCATGTGTGCCATCTTGCATTTCTTTTCCAAGACTCTCTTCAATCTTACTTTTGTCAACCTCAGTTAATTTCCCAATGCAATCTTAAGACTCCTCAACTATTGAGATCTCCATCAAGCTATCAGCTGCTTTCACCTCACTTCCTTCCTCCTTCCTAGTTAGCAAATCCTCTTCAGCCAGCTCGATATTATCGTCCACATCATCATCCACCACATCTACCAGGTCATCTTCATCTTCCTTTCCTCTGGGAACATCCATGGGTTGCACCTCACAATTGACATTAGAGCTGATATACTCGTCAACACCTTCTAATCTGTTGCGTGTGCAAGTTGCCTTTACCTCCTTCACAATCTGCTCTTCACAAACTCTTATAGGGTACACTCTTCCTTTGCAATCCAGATTTACATTTGTATTTATTGGCTCCATGACTTTTGTGGCAATCTTTATCTTTCCACAACGAAAAGATGCTACCTCACAGGTATCACCATCAAAATAAATCACATCCCCTTATAATCTTCCAATCTTTCTGAAGGTATCTGTATTCCAGACATTGAGTGGTATTCCGTAGCAACTCAACCATACAAACCTCTCTTGCTCTGGTATATATTTGTTAACCATTCCTTTATGTACTCACACCATTCTTGAAACCAGGCAACAAGCTTGCTTCTATTGATTCTCATATCCTCATTTGACTTGAAAGTTATCACAACATCACGACCTCTACCCTCTCTTACTAACACACTAGTCATTTCTTTTCGTTTGAGCTCTTCTTTGATTGCCATAATAGAAAATATTGGTTTGAGCCTTAGAATGATGCTTTCATACAGCCATCCATTGCCTATCTCTTCCACATTGATAGTAATCTTATGCTTGTCGACTGAGTTTGCTCCATTTAGGACCTCTGCAAACGATCTTTGATCAATGCCTTGGTTCCAACTTTTCGGCATAGAGCCTACTGTTACATTTTGCCCCTCAATCATCCTCCTTATTGCAGGCTTTAACCATTTGTTTTCTTCATTGTCCTTCCCATACTCTGTAATTTTTACATTCAGTTTTCTATCATCTACCCATAGCCCATTTGTTTTTTGTGCTGCCACATTGGTTGCAACATGGCAATCATACCGCACAAAACCAAATCTTGAATTAGATGATCTCCTTCGCTTCTGAGGAATGAATACATCCCTAACCACCCCAAACTTAGTGAATAGCTCATACAAACTTCTTGGATTCATTGCTTCAGGTATATTGTCTACAAATAGAGTGAAAAGACCCGATCTTCTTCCATCAATCCTTACTCCTTGGTTCCTTGATCTTCCTCTCTGTTTCAGCACTGGAATCCACCCTCCTTGCTCTTCTCGTATTCTTTCTCTCATTTTTTTTAATAGATAGATAGATGCGTCATTGTTGCTATGCTGTTGTTAAAAGTGCTAATTCTTATAGTGACTATTTCTTGTCCATCTTCTTCACGGCCTTCTGACATATCTTATGTACCTAAGCCTGTTAACAAATTAACATCCTTACCTATTGGTGTTAAACCTTTGTCATGGACTAAACAGAAGGAACTGTAACAACCCTCGTCACTGTTTACCGAATAACCACTGATTACCGTTAAACTGAAACTGATTATGAATGATAAGTGAATTAAATAAACTACTGAACTGACTGACTGAAATTGAAACTGAATTGACTGAGCATACCTGTTTAATTGTAATTCTATCTGTTTGGTTATTTGATTATCTGTTCGTATTTTTGTGTTTAAACTGCAAATTGAAGGCCTTGTCGGCGGTCGAACCGGAAACCGATTAGTGTTTTATGATCATCGTGATTTATGTGATTTTATGGTGTAATTACCTGAAAACTGATTAGATATGATTAAATTAGATTGAAATAAGTTAAATTGCAATAGTTGGCTTAATTACAACCTTGCCATCCCTAGTGGATCACTTAGGCAACATTTTGAGACTTGTGTATACATTGAATCAACATTTCTTCTCCCATTTCTTGCACACAACCGACCTAGAGAGTGAGAGTGAGGGAATTGAGTTCAAGTGAGAGTCTAGCTTGGAGACTTGGAGAATTTGTAGGAGATTTGCCTAATTGAGCCTCTAGACTTGTAATTGAGGAACCTAGGTATGAATTTCATCCTTCTTATTGTGTATTTAAGTTCCTTCTAGGATGGATCATGGTAGTTTAAAGAGTTAAGTCAAGAATTGGTTCATTAATGTTGAATTGGAGCTCATTCCATGCATGCATGTTTGAATTGTTGAATTTGAGTTGATTCCATGGAGAATTGTCTCATGCATGCTCATGGTTATGTTAAGTCCATGCTTTCATCTTGTTTTTGGAACAATTGGCTCCTTAGAGCATCAAATTGAAGCTTTGAAATGGTTTTAATTCATGCATGTTTGCACGTTCTTCATATTCATGGAAATTGGTTTGAATTGGATTTATTTGAAACACCCTTGGGCTTTGATTTTACAAATTGAGCTTTGAATCATGTTAAAGTATGAGTTTTGATGTGTTTTTTGAAAAATTGACCCAAGAGGATCGAAATTTATGGTTTAAAACTTGGTTTTGAGCTTGAGGTTCAAATATGGAATTTCCAGAATTTGGACTCACGCTCGAGCGGGGTGACTGGCGCTCGAGCGTGGAAATCGTGCTCCCAGCATTTTGTTCTGTTTTGAAGTTTGCTCGAGCGGAATAATTGACGCTTGAGCGGGACATTGTGTCTCATGCTCGAGTGGGTGTCGAGCGCCCAATCGAGCGTGATTTTCGCCTTTCCAGCACTTTTGACTGTTTTACAGAACGCTCGAGCAGGTAAGTCTACGCTCGAGCGGAAACCTTTGTCTGCATGTCCGCTCGAGCGGAGTAACCTACGCTCGAGCGTGATCCCTGTTTTCTGAAAAGTCTGAAAATGCTTTTAAAGTGCATCTTTGCATCCTCATCTCATTCTAGGAATTCTTAGGCCTAGTTTAAGACATCTTATTGAGGATATAGATGTAGGACCACACTGAGGCAAATTAGGGATTAAGTTGTTATCTTTCCCAACTGTGTAGCTTAGTGTGCGTTTAATCTGTAACTGTGTAGGGTTGGCGACTGGGGACGTGCTCTAGCTTTACTATAGCCCAGAACTCTGTGAGTGACAACTGTGTAAAGATATGTTCAAAATGATTATCTTCTAAACAATTGAACTGTACTGCTTTCTGAACTGATACTGTTAATTGAATGAATGTATGTCCTATATTCTGAACTGTATTGTGGCATCCTTAGCAACTACTGTTTAGTGTTACTGTTACAGAGATCTCTGTCGGTTCCCTTGTTGGAACCACTACTGTTTACTGATTGATGGCCATCATTTACTGTTTAGTCTTTTAAGACCTACTGTTTACTGTACTGTTATGCTAATGGATGTACCACATATGACTGTACTGACAGAACGACTGAAATACTGATTTAATGAACTATTTTCATTACTGTAAGGACATTCATTCTTAACCCCTTTACGTATTGTGTTATTCACTGGGCTTTAGCTCACTGCTCATATATATATGTAGGTGTACAGGCACCAGACCGCAGCTAGGAGCGTTGGGGTAAACTCCAGTTTTGTCGAGCCAACCTATGTGCCTCAATGCGAGGTTCCGAGCCTGTCAAGTTATGGCTTAGGGGTGTTTTAGTTCCCCCTTCTGTCTCTGTAACCGTTTTGTTTACTGTACTGTTTAATAGGGATTAGGTCCCTGAACTGAATGATCATATATATGTACATACTGTTTTGTTCGACTGTATATATTTGAATGAAAAGTTTTTTTTTGCATACAGATTATCACAGCTCATTGGATATTGTTTATTTACTGTATTGGCTTCCGCCAGCCCCTGGACTCTGTATTACTGTATTACTGTTAAGCAGGCCTTCGGTAATCTCGGATTACTGGCCGGTTACGGTGCTTTCGTGACAGGAACTCTGTGAGGTGGGTCTTTGTTTTAATTGCGATGAGATTTATAAGCCTGGTCATCGATGCCAAAAGCCACAATTATCTCTCTTGGAAGGTAAACCAGAGGTCAAAGTTGAAGACTTTGAATCTGAAACCGTAGTTGGTGGTGTCCCAGAACCCGCAACTTTTGAAATTTCGTTACATGCTCTTATGTGGTCAACTCGACTTGTCACATGTTAAATTAGTAGAATGATCAAGCTGTCACACGTTGGCTCATTCAGTGGAAGGGTCATTCTATTAATGAAGTTACTTGGAAAGACCATACTGCATTTTGTGCTCGTTATCTCGATTTTTCAGCTTGAGGATAAGCTGTGATTCTGGGGCGGTCGAATGTTAGGAAACCAATTATATTAGGAACTCTATTTCTTTTTAATTACTAACTAATCAATTTAGGTAGTCTAATAAATTTAGGAAGTCTAATTATATTAGGAAGTCTATGTTATTTTTCTTATACAAAGATGCTTATTGTAATGGTTTGGAGGAAATTAAATAATATTAAGAGTTTAGGTAGTTAATCCCCAATTCAAAGGATTGTTGGTGGCTGATCCCTAATCAAAGGATAAAATTCAGGGTTTGGGACCCTATCAGCTGCCTTCATCCTCGCCAGATCTGCTACAGCCACCGCTATTGGAAGTTGGTTGGTGTGTGGGTTTATGTTTTTTGTATTGTGTTTTTGATTTCCTTTGTGCTTTGCTCTGTTTGTTTGTTTGATTTATTGGGAATCCATCAGTGAGTGCTTATTAAGCTTACCCACTATGTGGTTGAAATCTATAATTTATACCAGGCATGCTTTATTTCCGACTCTTATGATCGGTTCTGTTTTGCAGTATGAGCACGTGTACTAGAGGCGCGTTCGAATATTTTCTTAGTTTCTCTCCTTTGTGTTTCTTACAAATTTTTTATTTTGTTTGGTGTAAGTTTTGATTTAAATGGATTCCTGTAAATGCCGCTTTTGCTTTCATTAATGAACTTTTCTACTGATAAAAAAAAATCATCTTATCTCTCTCTATGGTTCTCTGTTCTATAAATTGACATCTTGCCTTCTATTTTTCGTTCTTCTTTGCTCCTTCGCCATTGGGCCAGCATATGACTAGTTGTTTTGGATGCCAACCTCATTAGGATCCTCTTTTCCAATGCTATCCTCCCTTCACCGCTTGATGTATCTCTCATTATTATAGCACAGTTGATATATCAATAAACTTTCTTTTGTGGATTAAAAAAAAAATGATTTGATAGTACCAAAATCTTAAGTCTGCCAAGACTACCAATTATTTATTTATTTTTTAATAGTAAAATAAAATTTATCGAGGCAATACATAACTACAAAATAGGTACAAAATGAGTACAGCAAAAGTATAGAAGTGGAACACAATTACTTAAAGACAAATATCCCAACTAAATTGATATACATGCTTAAGCCAAACAAATACCACACCAAAACCCAATAAGATTACATTGGGAAATTACCAACAACAAACACTCCTTGATCTTAAGAAAACAACCATTGCAACCCCACATTCTAAGGCCAAGTTTGGCATGATTGAAAAAAGACAAAAAGTCAAAAAGTCACTATCCTATTTAAGTCACATCATCTTATTTAAGTTACATCACCTCTCTAACACATCACTTCAAACCCAACCTAAACCCAACCCATATTTCATAAAAAGTCAAAAAGTGCACTTATTTAGTCTTCCCAAACTAAATTTAATGATGTATAAGAAAGATAATTGATTAATGATTAATGATTAAAAAAAATATATAAAAAAAAGAATTATCTTAAATATTTTAATTAATTTTCATATCATTGAGTTTAAAAAATAAATATAATTTTTGAGTTAAAATAACAATGACCTTACATAAAATACTTTTAACCAACAACATCCTCCCTAATATAGACAAAAAAAGGAAAAAAAAAGAAGAAGAGAGAGTTAATTACATTTAGCATTCCTATATTTTTAATTGAAATTTTATTTTGATCTCTTCACTTTTAATTATGACAATCAACTTCTTATACTTTAAGTCAAATTGCAATGTCATTATTCCCTCCACCTACTATTAATGAGATAGATGAAAATTAATAATGAAAAGATTAAATTAAGATTTTAGGAAAAATACAATAACTTAAATGAAATTTTGATAAAAATTTAGAAACAATAATAAGACAAAAAAATTGTCAATTTTAGTTTAAATGACAAGTTTCTTCGGCTTTATTAATCGTTAATGGACGGGAGAGTGCCTTTGAAATTTAACTTAAAATATAAAAAATTGATTGTCATGAAACAAAATTAGGCCCCGTTTGGGATGAGGATTTGGGCTAGAATAGTAATATAGGACAAAATGTGCTGTTTTAGCCAAATAGAATAACATGCCATATTCAATCCATAATCATTTCATTTTTTCTCTTACAAAAGTCAAAAAAACTAAAAAACCTTTCACAAACAAGGTTTTTTAGTCCTAGAATAAAATAATCAAAAAATCAAAAAACTAACTCATATCCCAAATGAACCCTTAGATTATACTGCAGCTGCAAATAAACAACAAATCCAACAACTGGACAGAACAAATTTGTTAACTTATGTCTGCAATCCAAACTAAATTAGCTAAGCCGGTCAGATCTTCTCCTTTCTTGCAATATTCCTTACATTTCATGATAAAATTATTAAATCAAAATAAAAAATGGAAAATTCAAATCCCCAATTCTAGGGGAAAAAAAGAAAGAAAAACAAACCTCTTACTTTCTGCTGATTGCTCCATTTTTTTTTAATAACTGAATCATTTCAAGCTTCCAACTTTTCAATTTTTCTTATAAACTCCATAATTAACTTATTCTTCATTTTTTTTTTCAATCTATCTCTTACACTCATGCCTCTACTTTTAAATTTTATTTCTGATAAGATCACACCTCATTTAGTGAAGGAAATTATAAAGTTTCTTCATTGGACAAACTCGTTGTCCGATTCAAAAAAAAAAGAAAAAAAAGAAAAAAAAGCAAGAACATAAAAAAGAATGAATAAGTTCTGCTCATGGTTCTAGTGTTGCAACAAGCTTAGCCAGCACAAAGGTACATACTATTTTCCACAAAAACCTGTGCTAAAAAGTACATATGGCTACACTATATTGTTTTTTTTTTTCTTCTGATAACTCATAACACGACCCGTTTCAAGTTAGGGACTACCATGTATATTGTCCCCAATTCGCCAACCATTTTGTACATAACAAAAGTTGAGCTAGTTGAGCATAAAAAAGAATGAATAAGTTCTGCTCATGGTTCTAGTGTTGCAACAAGCTTAACCAGCACAAAGGTATATACTATTTTCCACAAAAACCTGTGCTAAAAAGTACATATGGCTACACTATATTGTTTTTTCTTTTCCTGATAACTCATAACACGACCCGTTTCAAGTTAGGGACTACCATGTATATTGTCCCCAATTCGCCAACCATTTTGTACATAACAAAAGTTGAGCTAGTTCCCATCTTTTGGCACCGGAAAAGAAAAATTTGGCAAAGTACTATCCCAAGCAGTATCACCGTTATACCCAATATTTACTCTTCTCGGAGACCTTGGCATCTCTGAAATCGGATTCCCATCACAATCATAATAAATCACACCCGAAAACTCTGGTGGTTGACACTTCTCCCCCATCAAAATCGCCTTCTGCCACAAACCGCCTTCTCCGAACCCTTCAACGTCAGCTTCGCCACCAATCTCAGCCTCGGCCTCAGTTTTCTGGTGGTTGATGAATGGAATAAGCTGCTTCGGAGACCGTAAGGGTGACTTAGGAGGAAGGACTTTCGAATCAAATGTCTCGGTTTCGTTCTTTCTCGAGATTTTTCTTGAATGTTTGGCACAGAGAGCTACAAGAGCTGATAAAGAGATGAACAAGCCAACTGCTAGTAATGGCATCGAACCTGAGTGATCGCCGGAGTGTATCGGAGTTAGTCGGACCATTTTTTTGTGGTATGTATGGTTTGTTTTGTCAATGAAAAGAAGGGTTTGTATAATATATGGTTTTTAAGACATGAAAATCAACACGGTTGTGCATATATAGTATATGTTTTGTTTGGTTGAAGTGTCTGCTTACCGGTAGCAGTTGGGATGGTAAATAGAGAAGACTTTTAAAGGTTTTATTTGTCGGTGTTGATTAATAATGTTTGCTTGTTAAGTAATGACTTGGTCCTGTAAAATTTTATCTAAATAAAACAATACAATGACTTGGTCCTGTAAAATTTTATGGAAATAAAACAATACAATAGTGTAAAACTTATCATAATTATAGTTAAAGCATTGCTATTCAAGTAAAAAAATTAGACCTATTTTTAAAACTTAATGATGTGACAATCAATTAGAATATATAAGACAATTCTCTCTCTTTTATATCCTCTTTAATTATTAATCAATCATCTCACTTGTACATCATTAAATCTAGAAAATATATTTAGAAAGTGATATTATATATCATTTCTTTTATAAAAATATGTATATATATATATATATATAATAAAATTATATAGTTATGACTATCTAACAAAATAAATAATTTAAATTGTGGAAACAGGTTCAGTCCACATACAGTAGATTGGAGACATCTCCCTAATATTTTTGTCACTGTTTTCTACTGCTGTCTATATAAATGTTAATAACTGGTTTTCTCGTTTGAAGAGAATTATTAAAGAATTATAATATGTTGGCACATATTCGGATGATAGAAAATGATGAAAAAAATAAGTGATACATAACAATTCACTTTTGTATATCGTATTTGATTTATTATATGATGTGTTGCCATTACATTAATAACAAATATGGGTGATCAAACTTTTATTTAACTAATACAATTATAACATATAAGATAATCAACAAAAATATGATATATATATATATATATATAGATATAAATGGGATCATTGTTAACAAATAAGATAATCAACAAAAATATGATATATATATATATATATATAGATATAAATGGGATCATTGTAAACATTATTGAAAAAAAGATGCTAAATAAAATTTTTATACAAAAAAATTAATGCAAATTGATACAAAAATGACATTTCTACAATTATACAATTATGATATGACTCATAGTGATGATTTTTATTTTTTATTTTTAAAATTCAATGAATAAATGTAGATGTCACATATTATCTTGTATAACATTATCTTTATCAAAATTAGGAGGTAGATTTCCCTCTTCTGGAATGGAGGGCGTTGTCTGGATTTGTGAGATTCACTATGGGTCAATTTTGATGATTTGAATTGTTCATTTTGTTAAGTTGATCTGCAATTCAATTTTTTGCATTTGTCACACACACACAAAAAAAAAAGACGATAATTGTAATTTTTAAAATAAACAATTTATTTTTTTTTTGTGATAAACGCGATAAATTGAATAAGTTATAATTATTGGATCGACTTAATTTTTTTTTGTATGAATGATATATATAAAATGTCTAATAAAATAAATAATTCAAATTATAAAAAATGAGCTTGTGATAGGCGACCTCACGGAGCGCGACCTGTAATCCAAATTATAGATGGGAGGGAATAACCACCTCCTCAAAATTAAGGGGCATAAAAATGACATGCATGGATACTCAATCTCCAAATATTCATGTCCCATGCAAGACATCACTTCACCTGCACGATGCCATATATCATAGGAGAGGCCTTGTAACAAAAATGTTGGGACATAAATCAATTTTATTTTCTAATTAAGAGGGACATTGAAATTGTGAAAATAAATGCATATAGTTCTTAAAGACATACAATTAAATATGCTATGTTAGACTTAGATGGGGTACGCACTGCCAAGATAAATAATATGTTATTTGTCATTTTATTCTTTACACTTTTTTGTTAAGAAAATAAAATTAAGTGTTTATAGAATTATTATTTCAACAAAAATGATTATTCCAATGACCTAAAATGAAAAAATTGTCAAAAATTTAAAATTATATATATTTTTAAAACACTTTTTACATGTTTAATGGAGATTAATGATGACATGTTAAACAATGAATCATGTAAGGAGAACATGAATCATATGGCTCATAATAGAGTCATACATATGAAAGTCTGACCCACGTTATATTATATTCCAAGGTCGCAATGGATCAGGAAAAATGCCATTAGTTCATATTGGCTTTGTTTAAGGTGGTTGAGTAAACCCCAATTAAGCTTGTGAGGAGAGGAACATGCAAAGATGACTCGTAGTTAGGTCACCTTTTGCTTCTTTCAATGACTTTTATTTATTTTATTATTATTATTTTATTTTAAAAAATTGATTTATGAGGTTTTAAAGTTGACTGATTTCCCAAGTTGCAAATCTGGTGTTTCACAACTTTCTTGGGTCCACCTAAAATTGTTGACCAAGTCATGCAAGACGCGTTGATCATGCCCCATTGGCTGCTTTTTTTTAAGTCAAACAGGGGGTGGTGCGATTCAACTACTTGGTCATATCACAGCGCAGTTGGCTTCGGGAGGATCTCAAGTGGCTGTTATACGTGGCACTTGCTGTGAGTTTGACTCCCTTTTGTTGCATAAGTTTTGATTTAATTGAGGTTTGTATTGAGAGATCGGTATAAACTCTTAAGTTATAATCTCTTATTCAGAACGAACAACAACAATAGAATATCTTAATGATCTTAATATAGGTGCTATCTTGGACATGCGGGAGAATGTGAGAATTTCTGTGAAAAAAAAAAAAAAAAAAGTCTCTGATTTCATGGTTGCAATCATTCTAATTGTGAACCTAATATTCATATTGAAATTAAGTCCCTTGTGTTACATTTTTGAATTCATATGATATTTGCTAAATATGAATACATTATGGACGGTAAAAATCTGATTTATTTGTCGGTTATAGTTATTTGATTAATAAATTATAGTTATTTGATTAATAAAATATGTAAGTATGCAATCTCTTGTAGAATAGTAAAAAATTTAAATATAAAATTTAAAATCTCGAGTTCAAGTTATCTTAAAGAGGTAATTAAAAGTTTGCTCAGTCATGAATTTTAAGATTCCAAAATTATTGGAGTTGTGCTTAAGTTAGTTCAAACGCCTGATTATCGATAAAAAATGTGAGTATGTATGCATATCTTTCAAGCATGTAAAATTGGTATATTCTATCTAGACATTTGATTATTATTATTTTTTTTGTAGTTAATGGAAAATAAGTTTATTTGGATAAAAAATATTTTTCACTTTTAAAAGGTGGAAAATGTTTTTTAAGACTAAAATTTACTAATGCCATCAATTTACCATCACCCACTGCCATTGCAACCTCCATCCACCCACTTCCGCCACTGCCACCATTATGACTAATGCAATCACTACGCAACTAAATATAAGAAAACATTTTTTATAAAAAATAATTTTTTGATTTTTTTTTTTTGTAAAATATTTTGAATTCGAGAATATTTTTCATTAAAACAAAATAGAGTGTGAGTCTTTTGAAAAAATGTTATACAGAGACATATTTTTATCATATTTTACTAGTCATATACAAATATAATGAATATCATGTGTATTTGTTTAATATGTACCAACACTCTTTTTGTCGTTTAAATGTAGTTAGCAATTTGTTTATCTATGTCATTATTATATAATTTTTTTGAACAAATTATTATAATCTTTTAGTCGTCCTCATGTAACATGTTAATTTCGTTTCACATATATATTTAGGGATTGGCTTTCTTCTAGTTTGATCACAGACTGGAGGGTGCTGTTGGATTCGTGGGGGCCCACCACGGGTCCCGTTTTGATAATTCGAACTGTTCAATGTGTAGAACTTGTTGAGTACTATACGTCTGAAAAAAATCACGTTGATCGAATATCAGTAACTATTTTATCAGATCAGATCTCTATCAACCGTTTATTTTTTCATCATTTATTTATTTTTTTATACAAAACGGATTTGATCAAATAGCTATTGATATTTGATCAACGTGATTATTTACGGATATATAATACTCGATGAGTCTTACACATTGACAGTTCAGATTATCAAAGCAGAACCTGAAAAATCTAGAAATCCCCTAGATGTTGATTTGTGATTATGTATCAATTTTAAGTAGTAAACAACAATCCCAATCAAACAATCAAGACAAAATCGACACAACGATTTTACGTGGAAAAACCACAATTGGACACCTCCAATTGTGATAAAAAAAACCACGGGCAACAGCCACAAAACAATCCACTAAGAAGATGTAAAGGAATTACACAGGTATACTCTCAATTACCTAGCGAATCCACGCCCGAATTGAACCAATCTCTATGTGTCTCTTCCAACCCTATCTTCACCTCGGAATTGTGTTGACGATGAGCCACTCCAGAATCCACCAAAGCTTTAGGCTCGAAATCTTCAGAATCCACCGAAGAACAACTCTCTCTTTTGTGTAGAATAAACAAACAAACCTTTGATGTATGCTTCTTAAACCATGAGTTGAATACTCAATGAAAACATCAAAGAAAACTAGCAAAATATCTCCATATATAAACCTTAGAACCCAAAAAGAAGATCTGGAGGAGTTTTTTAAGTTTTGGGAGAAAACCAACTACTTATAGAAAACCAAAGTAATCATAGTTTTGGAAGAAAACTAATTCTTTATAGAAATCCAAAGTAATCCTGGATTTGAAGAAAACCAATTCTTTATAGAAATCCAAAGTAATCCTGGATTTGAAGAAAACCAATTCCTTATAGAAATCCAAAGTAATCTTGGATTTGACCCAACACGCGAATTTATAGAATCTGTGTTCGCGCGGCCCGTTCGAGCGTGGGAACTCCCGCTCGAGCGGAGGCTTCAAAATTGTGTGATTCATATAGGCTTCACGCTCGAGCGGAAGTTTCCACACTCGAACGGAGAATCACACCATCCAGTACTTTTTCAGGCGAAGCAGAGATGCTGTGAGCTTGCAATCCCCGCTCGAGCATCCCTTTCCCCGCTCGAGTGGGACGACCAAAATTGAAAAATCTGAAAAACTAGATCCTGTTACAACCTCGGTTTTGATCCATGGAAATTGACAAAGGCACGATTCGGGTTGAATTCGCATCTAATAAACTCATAGCCT